TTTTTTGTTTTATTTTTTTACAGACGCAGAACTGCACTGTTGCGAGCTGAGGCTGCACGGTTCAGGCTACAGATGGAGCCAAGAACTGGCGGTTGGGGGGCAGAGGGAGTGTATAGATTGGGATTATGGGGGTGCACTGGGGAAAGGCTCTTCAGTGTGTTTTCTATTCAACCTAAGTCCTCTAAGACCTCCTCATCTCTTCTGAGCGCAGCAAGCTGAGATCTGATCTAATGCTGAGTGCCACATGTGAGAGTGTGTGAGAGAGACACAGCACTTTGATGAGAGCCTGCTGGGGATGTGAGTGTGTATGGGTAATGAACAAGTGTGTGCGTGTATGCTTGTGTGCTTATGTTTAGGGGTAATGAAGGAGTCCAGGGTTTATATATTTCTGTGTATGCCCCGTGTCTGTGCACTCTTCGTCATCCCTGAAGGGTTGTTTGGGGTATTCTGTGCAGGTTTTGGTCAGGGGGGAGGTGGGTTCTCGGGGTCTTGCATTCAGATGTAATTAGCCCAGACAATGGCCTGGTTAAAGCTGGAATCCTCCAAGCCCCCTCTCTCTTTGATTGTGTGGGCCAGCTGTGGAGGAATGGCCATTATCTCCCTGTGTCCGGCAGCATAAAGAAGCCCCCCCTGCCCTAGTTACCCCTGCGTTAGGGTTCCCACAGGGGGAGGGACGTGGGTCGGTCACACACTGGTCTGGAGAAAGTGAAAGCAACCAGAATACTGGTTTGCTTGCAAACATTCACCCAGATAAATGGCTTCACCTCGCACTTGAACCACTCTTTCTCAAACTAATGTAGGAGAGCAGGTGGCACTATTTACACAAGAGCAAAAAAGTGGCTTTTCACATCTGGATTTGAAGAGTGCTGGCCTTCAATACAATTTTAGAGCTGCCCTTCTACATCATAAAATATCTCTTCCAATCTACATGTAAATAGCCATGGATTCCTTTATTCTATCAGTGTTTACAAGTGTGTGTGTGTGTGTGTGTGTGTGTGCGTTTGTTTTTGTTCTCTCTGTGTGCCTTTCAATCATAAATATCTCAGAGAGAGTTCTGCTGGCACACAGGGACACTTAGGCCCATTAGACTTGCGAAGAAATTGAATCTTTACAGCACTGGGGCCATATAATTACTGTTAATTTAACGCTCAGATTCTCCATCATTAACTCTCACTCTTGAATACAGAACGAGTTACAGGGAAACAGAGACAGTATGTGCGTGGAAACCGCTGCCTGTGTTGACAGCATACCCAGCCCTTTGACTGAATTAACAGCGACCTCTTCCTCTTGTAAGAACAGGACCCGCATCGTTTATGCGTTATTAAGTCCTGTAATTGGGCAGCCAGTAGTTTGCATATTAGTCTATTAGGGTAATATGTTTTGCCTCTCTTAACACACGGCTTGCCAGAGCCCCTGGCGACACATTTGGTAATTCTCAGAATTACACCCTAATCATAAGCCAGTGTTCTTTCAATCTCTATATTTCAATGTGCGTCACTTTATGTCTACACATCCTCAGCTTAATAAGATTTATTGATTAACCTACCACTTCCTATGTGTTATTGTATTGTAGCATGCTCTCTAATAAACCATTGTTTTATTGGATTTGTAACTATGCCTTTAAATTTGCTAAAATGTTTTCACGTATTTCCATTGGTGCCCGTGATGTTGCATCCCAACCCTGTTTGAAGGTGAAACTTGCATATTTTTTGTCCTTCGAGGTTCCTTTAACCTCTTAATAGCTGTTAGGTTTTACAGCCGGTGTCCCACTTTGAGCCAATAAAATCACATCTCCTAAATACCAGTAGTTTGCCAAAGTAGGTCCAGGGACCCCCCCAGGGGTCTAAAAGGGTTTCAGAGGGGCTCAACAGAATGAGGATTAATTTCATTTCAATATCATTGCATTCATTTAAAGATAGAAGCGGCAGATAGCACAAAACTAGTGCTTTGATCAATTTTCATAAACTAACAGAGAGGACACAATGGTATAATCAGAGTTTCTAAGTCAACACCTCTGTGGTTCAGTGTTGCAGTGATGGAAGACGTACTCAGATGCTTTAATTAAGAAAAAAGGAGCTAATAATAACACAATGTAAAAAATCTGCAATACAAGTAAAAGTCCTGTGTTCAAAGCACAAAAGTGTTATCATTAACATTAGTATTGTTATCAACAAAAAGTATTCATTATTCAGAATGAGTTGTTTATATTGATGGGTTATTATTACAGATGCATTAACAAGCAGCATTTTAATGTTGCTGGTCCTGATGGGTTGTTTGATCAAAACAATGCATTGTAACTTATCAGTTGCTCATACTTTAACAGCATGAAGTGGAGTTAAAATGTTTGGCTCAGAAATGTAGTGTAGAGTTGAACGAAAAAAAAAAGATAACACTGAAGTAAAGAATCTCAGTATCTCAGCTACAACTTACTTTCCACCACTGCTGTGTTGTAGTAAGACATATTCATGGACTGGTTGTCATGGGAAATTTGGGAAACACTTGTTAGTCATCACTGATTTTGTGCATTGAAAGGTAGAGATAACTTTTCCTCATCAAACTATTGAAATTCAAAGCCTGTTCGTTGGAGGTTTTGGGAAACCACGCCTCGCGTGCCGCTGTAGGTGCATCCATCTCAAAGTTTACCCAACAAGCAGGTGGAAGGGGGCACCGTGGGCGCAGAGCAGGCTGAAGGATCCAATTCTTGCAGCCTCCTCTCTTTGGCCCCGAGCTGCCCTCTCCGCTCGCCCCCCATTATTTGTCCCGACGGCCGAGCGCGCGGCCCCAATGAGTCCTTTGGAACGGAACGAAAAGAAGGAGCGAATTGCAGCTGTGACGTGGGCGTTGTTGTTCCATTCACCGCGTTCGCCATGGCAACGGGGCAGAGGCCCTGGAAGCACGCGGCCCCTCTCTCGAGACGGCGTCCTGAGGGCAGAGAGGCAGCTGGAAGTTTCTCCTCACGATCACTGCTCACTGTTTCATGGCGCAAAATATCCAAACTATTCCACGTTAAACGCATGAAAACTGGATCAAACCAACGCTTAGCACTTTTGAGAATTTGGACCCTGAAAGTTATACGGTCACTACATCGATAAATGTGCCAATCCTGTGTATCTTATACAACTTTTACGCATAGTTTTGACGCACGAAACCGATAGATGTGACCCACTGACCCAGATAAAGGTTCATAAACTACTTTCAAACATAAAGAAAAACGCTTTTTTTTCCTTTTTCTTAAAGCTGATCTTGTTGTCTTTTCTGTGTTTACACTCGGCAGCCAGATTTCTCCCTCCACTTTGTACTCTTGCATGCTGCAGGACTGCTAGTATTGTTGGGCAGAGTGATTGGGGTTTCTGTACAATCTCCCGTGACCAATGAGCGGGGTGCTGTCAGGGGTAACCACATCTGTCAACCGTTCTTGGCCAATAAAGAGCGGAGCGAGGCGGACCACAGGTGCGCGCCTCTGCGTCCCCTTGGCACAGCGCCCGGGAGATGCTGGAGAGAGACGCCTTGCTGCCCCGTGGCGCAAAAGAGTTACTGTCAAAGGCAGCCTCCTTTTAACTCCAGCTATCACTCTGGCTCCGATAGTTATGGCGACCGCAACGTCCAACCACTACAGCGTCCTCACCACCCCCAGCAGCGCGCCGCCGCCGCACTCGGAGTCCGGGAGCATGCAGCAGGCGGCAGCGTACAGGGACGCGCACACCCTGCTCCAGAACGACTATAGCACGTTACCGGGCGGTGGACATCCGCTCAGCCACGCGCACCAGTGGATAACGGCGCTGTCTCACGGTGACAGCGGGGCGCCCTGGCCATCTAGTCCCCTCGGAGAACAGGACGTGAAGCCCGTACTGCACGACAGTGACCGAGAAGAGCTGCAGAACTCCAGCAGTCTGCAGCAACAGCAGCAGCAGCAGCAGCAGCAGCAACAGCGACACCCTCACCTAGCGCACCAGCAGGCGCATCACGACGCCAGAGCATGGCGAACCAGCACAGCTACCACGCACATCCCCGGTATGGCGACATCTGAGGGCCAGAGCCTGGTGTATTCCCAGTCCGGCTTCGGTCTGATGCCGGGGGGAGAGCAAGGGGGGATGCACCACCACCCCCTGCGGGATGAGGACCACCACAGCCACAGCCCGCACCTCAGTGAACACGGAGGCGGCCCTGGGGCCCACCAGCAGTCTCTCTCACACCACCAGCACGGGGGCCATCAGGACCAGTCAGACGAGGACACACCGACCTCCGACGAGTTGGAGCAGTTCGCCAAGCAGTTTAAACAGCGGCGCATCAAGCTGGGCTTCACCCAGGCGGATGTGGGACTGGCTCTTGGGACGCTGTATGGAAACGTCTTTTCTCAGACCACCATTTGCAGGTTCGAGGCTCTTCAACTCAGCTTCAAAAACATGTGTAAACTCAAGCCCTTGTTGAACAAGTGGCTGGAGGAGGCGGACTCCACCTCGGGGAGCCCCACTAGCCTGGATAAAATCGCGGCACAAGGAAGAAAACGAAAAAAGAGGACCTCCATCGAGGTGGGCGTCAAAGGGGCTCTGGAGAGCCATTTTCTCAAATGTCCAAAACCAGGAGCAGCGGAGATCAACTCCCTCGCGGACAGCCTGCAGCTGGAGAAGGAGGTGGTGAGGGTTTGGTTTTGTAACCGGCGGCAGAAAGAGAAGAGGATGACACCGGCGGGGGGACAGATACCAGGAGGAGAGGACATGTACGGGGACACCCCTCCTCACCACGGTGGACAAACTCCTGTGCAGTGACCTCAGTCCGTTATCCTGAGCAAAACACGGACCCCTCACGGAGGTATAATTCCTTCCTTGTTTGTTTGATTCTCTGTGCTGGACCGCTCGGAACTGGACCTCAGCCAGTTTAAATGTTGGACCCACGGACACACACAGTGGGGATATACAGTGGCACTCAAGCACTAAAAATACGCATAGCAGAGAGCCGTATGGAGAGCTTTCATGCCGCGGAACTGCCGAGCATATTGGGATACGGCTGGTGTGTGCTAACCAAAAAACACGTCCGACATTGATACGAAATGCTTTTCTAAACCTTCTACCAAGGCGCCAGTGTGTCATTATGTCATGTGTCATTAAAGAAAGGCAAAGGTGTGATGTGGACACGAGGTGTCCGCAGGGGGAACATCTAAAAACAAGCTTCGGGCATGATGTTAAGTCGCAGTCAGTGTGGGTAAATAAACGCCATCTTTCCATCATAACAAAAGCAACAGGGGTTCTTCGAAGCTTGTGGCAAGAGAGGGCTGAAATGGCCTGCTGTACACCTGCTGTACAATGTTAAAAATGAAAGCCAATACCAGCCTATTATTATTATTATCATTATTATTATTAGGGTAAATAAACGCCATCTTTCCATCATAACAAAAGCAACAGGGGTTCTTCGAAGCTTGTGGCAAGAGAGGGCTGAAATGGCCTGCTGTACACCTGCTGTACAATGTTAAAAATGAAAGCCAATACCAGCCTATTATTATTATTATCATTATTATTATTATTATTATTATTATTATTATTATTATTATGTGCTATTTGATCAATTTAAATTTAATCTGATATATTGACTGTCTAGTGTCAAATGCACTCAGAATTTATATATAAATATACAATAAATTGAAAATTTCTCTTGCTTGCTAAAACTTCTTACATTACAGTCCTTCCCAAATAATAACAATAATGCTAATAATTATGCTAATAATGGTAATGATAATAATATTTATGATAATAATAATAATGATAATAATAATAATAATAATGATGATAATGATAATAATGTTTCCATAGAGACTGGGTATTGGTTGACTTTAATGCTTTTCTTTCTGTGCAGACATTTCTGGGCGCCTGTTTACAGTGTTTTGCTGTTTATTATGTTATTTCTGTACTTTTCCAAAATGCTGTGACGAGAAAGACCGAGACTGTCCGGCTGGAACACTCAAAGCAATCCAGCCCATTTTGCCTTCCTTTCCTAAGAAGAAAAAAAACCCACAAAAACAAAACAAAAACAAAAAAACAACAAAAAAAAAACAAAACAAAAAAACTGAATATATCTTGGTACCAGCTCTGGCCGCAGTGGCTATACTACTAATGTATGACTCATTCATTCACTGAGAAGACTATTTGTGGGATGTATCTCCATTCGTTTTTGTATGGCTTCGTTTGTTTGTTTGTTTATATGTTTGTTTGTTTGTTTGTTTGTTTGTTTGTTTCGTTCTCTCTGTCAGTCTGTGCCAAAGCACAAACACAGACACGTGTTCTTGTGCCACTTTAATCCTGTGACTAATAACCTGATCTGATGGTGAGGGTTGTGAGGGGAAATCCACCAGTAGTTGGAGATTTATTCTCTGACTGAAATTTTAAGAAAAATATATTAATTCAGAAACACAAATCCAACTGAAGGGTGTAGGTGGATGAGGAGAAAATATAATATTTGAGCAGATCCATAATATAAATTTTAGAGGATTTCCACGAGGCGTTTTGCATTTGAAAAACTTTCTGAATAGGCCCAGTGAACAATGTCAAACCAAACGCTCCACTTCCTTTTTTAATCCTTTCTTCGCCAATCAATCAAAATTAAACATAGCAATATTTTTACGTAATTTTTACGCATTTTCCGTATTGAAGAATATATTACATAATAATTTGATTTAAATAAGGCCTGAGATTTCTCTAATGCAAAAAGACTATTGTAAGTCTGACTACATCACTTTAATCCTTCAGCTGAATTTGAGTTTCTGAGGTGGAAAGAAAAAAAATATCAACAAAACCAAAACAAAATAGCATTGACCTGAAATCTGTGATCAAACGAAGAGGGAAAAAAGAAATCAACGATTGCACAATTTCTATATGCTTTTTGTCATTAAATCGTATTTGTTTTCTACAACACTGCAGTCTTTGCACGTTTATTGAGCTTCAGGAAAAGTCACAACTCTGGCAACAAGCTTGTTCTTTTTTTTTTTTTTCACTCCTCCTTGTGCGCCAGCTTGCATTGTAATTATGAATTTTATCAATCCGTCTCGGTTGCTTCAAATTGTCCTTCAGCTGTTTCGCTTAAGTGTTTACTACCGCTGATGTGCACTGATATTGTTGTGTGGGCAGATAATCCGTGAAGATGCTCAGACAGCCAGTCAATGGATGGCCTAAAATTGAAATACATAGCATTAATTAATATTTTCATCGGGCTAAATATGAAAACTAATTGACAGTAATGACGAGACGTAATTTAGAATATCAAAACAATTAAAGCCTTTGTGTTTGTGAACATGCCTGTGTGTGAACGCTGGCTGTAACACAAGCAGAGAAATAGGCCTAACTACAGGTGTAGGACAGAGGGTGGTGCAATATAAATCAGATTTATATATAATCTGGCCTATTGCCTTTATTATACATAATAAAAATAATTCTAAACATGTCCTATGAGTCATTTTAATATCTTAGGAAATATTTGAATAATTGTAGAAATGCTAAATATTTGTGCATGCACATAAAACACCGAAAAATTGGTGTTAAAATAATCACAAGTTTTCTATTTAGAAAGCTGAGAAGCCTGTGAGCGCAGTGTAAATCCAAACACTCAACTTCACTCTTGTTTCAGACATTGCTGAGGATTGTGCTGCGGAACGATTTCCGGTCTCATTTCACCTGTCAGAATCAGGGTTTCTTCTTCCTCAGCACATCTCTGTCCTTCTGGTTGTCTCCACCTCATGTCTAATGTTGCTTATCATATGCTTGAGCTCATCAGTGGCCAAGTCAGGAACAGTGCGCTGACGCCACCTAGTGGATGTTAGGAGGTTCGAAGTGGGCTCTGGATGAATGGAGGGTAATTGCTTGATGAACAGTGAGTGTTGATGCAGTCATAGATTTTTTTTTTGATGAGACACTGCTTTTTTTCTTAATTATACTTTATAACTGGACCATAGCTACACTGGTGACACTGAGTCATCTGCATTTTTTTCCTAAGGTTTCAGAGAGTTTCTCAACTTAAAAACGGACACATTTTTAGACTGATTCTAGTATTTGGAGACCCAGTATTTGTCCATCAAGATCCTGAGTTTCTCCACTGGCATAGAGAGATAAAACACTTTGTTACACATCTGAAATTTCCAACTAATGCCCTTGAAAGTTTCCTGAAAAGAAAGATGTAATCTGGCACCAATCAAAGGGAAAATGGAGACCAAGTTCAAAGATTCAGAATTGTATTTGGAGTTTAGTTAGTTGTGTTGAATTTAGAGAGGAATTTTCTTCACTCCATGTGAATAAAATTTTGCAGCAAATATAATTGAAAAGCAAAGCCATCTCTGAAAAATTCAAATAAATAAAAAGATTCAAAGACTAAAAATTTACCCAGGGCCCTTCTTATAATTTAATTTATATATTCTTATCTGCGGCACCCTTATCTCAAGTCAGGACAATCATCTCAAGTCCATTTCATTCATATTTCAAATCACATATCACAAATTTATTTAATTAAAATTTATGAATAAATGAAATTCCAATCAGAATGCATGAATGAAAATTTTCCATCTTGATGTTTTTAATTCATTTTCAGTCAGTCTCTACACAACTGGAGAGAAATCTGGCAATGAAAGGCTTCAGCCTCTTTGTCTGTTTACAACCGTGTCATTTCATAGTTTCATCTCACCTATTAATATCCAGGCTTTTATGTTGAAATCTGAGCCAGTGGGTGCAGTTCTGGGGCAAAAAGAGAGTGATTTGAGAAAGAAAAAAAGAAAGAAGCGTGTATATTTGTGTGTGTGTGTGTGTGTGTGTGTGTGTGTGTGTGATGTTAAACCAGGTCTAAACCCAGCTCTCTGGAGGGCCGTGTTGCTTGGATTCTGTCCTATCAGCAGGCGACCATCTGCCCTCCTCCTGGCCCTCACGCTCCTACAGGCATCCTCTGCATTATTCATATTTTTACACGCACGCATGCACACACACACACACACACACACACACACACACACACAGGCACACACACACAGGCACATTCACTCCTCTCTGCACACAACATCCCACCTCACACATCGTGCATACAGCTACGTGTTCGACACTCAGCCACACACACATACACACACACGCGCGCGCACACACACACATCTGCTGCCTCCGACACTGTACGCCATCTCTGACTCACCAGAGATGGTTTATTCTCTGGTGTCATTGTCAGTCCTGAATTGTCTCCTCTGTCTTGTGTGGATGAGATCTCACAGGGATCCTGCACAATGGTGACAGAAAAGCAAACCAGCCAAAGTCATCAAATATCAGTCATCTGTCCGCGACTGCTTGTCTCTTTCCCTTTTCATGCCCCCTTTTTCTCGCCCAAACCCACGCTCACGTCTCTACAGTGGTGCTCCCACGACTTGCCTTTTCTCTTCCTCTGCCCTCCTTTTTCTCTCCGTTTCTCCAAAGCTCCAGCACGAGCACAAAGAAAAGGGCAGAGAGCTAATCCTTCAGCATTGTTGGGTGGGCTTAGTATTGTCGTATGGTAGCAAGCACAGAGGGAGAGGGATTATGAGACAGATATATGCCAGAGTATACCCACCTCCAAGTGCTGATACAGAGCAGTTTCTGCATTTTCTTCCTCAGGTAGATATGATTTTAACTCTCACTGATGCACACAATAACTGAAACAAAACAAGAGGAAAATACCACAGCTATATTTAATGAAATATTATGATTAATCCATTGTCATACAGCTTTTTATCTCTATGTATGATACATTCATAAGAATCTTTTTTTTTATGTTACAGAGCGTTTTCTTTTAAGTCATTAAGTCATCTTCGCATATTCATTTGCTTTTTTTTTTTTTTTTCTCCAGCTTTCTTATTTACAGTTTGATGAGATTCCACCAAGTGTTTGAGCACACACAACACCAAGAGACAATGCTATATGGCTTCTACGGTCTACAAGCAGAAATCTCAACAGGAAAGTGACACACACACAACAGGGCTGAACCCCGACCCCTGACCTTTAACTGCTGAGGAACACTGAGACAGATGAAGTTGCCCACGGACACTGATCTGGAAGGAGTTTTTCAATTTTCCCAGTAATGGGTGAGTTTTACAAGAGGGAGTGGAGATACTCATCATCAGCTGAACAGCAGGATGACTGACCTCACCCTGCTCGTGGTCAGTTCGGTATTTCACTTCAGTATTTCATCTTTTTTTATTTATTTATTTATTTATTTTTATGGTTTCGACATTACTTTTTGCAGCAAATGAGGGACTAACACCAAACTTCCTTAATATTGTGATATGAATCGTAACAGTTACCAAATGACATCTCAAAACATGGACAAACATGCAATCACGGCAATGACTGGCAATGTGAAAATATGCGTTTTCTGCAGTGTTACATGTCAACAGAAGTCAGAGGATCTACATTATTGCACTAATACACAGATCAATAAATTAGTCTGATAGGAATTCTCAGCCAGAGAACAAAACACATGTAAACATAAGAAGAAAAGTGCAAAATAATAAAAAGAAAATAGTTTTTTTTTAAATTCAAGCACATCCACCATCATTATCAGTAATATAGCAACATAAAATAAATAGACAAATAAAATAAATATGACATATAAAAACATAAGTCATATGCTGGCACTGGTATAAAGTAAACAGCTTTAGGAGTCTGTTTTCATAAGGCTAAATCTGACTATTGATGAGAGAAGGCAAGAACATGCAGGCAAGGGGTTTTAAGACACAAATCGAAACTTTTAAGTTAATTTTTTTTTTTCAGTTTCAGACTATATTATTGTACTTAAAATCAACTGCAGCACACACCCACACATGAAGGCGTTACTGTCCATGTGACTAGTGTCTCCGTCCTTGATTTGAAGCCCAGCTTAGAGATGCTTTTGATAGAGAACCCAGAATGTAAAAGCCTTATACAGGAAATGATGATTTTTGCTGTCATTACCTCATCATTAATTCTAACTCGTCAATATCAACATCAATGTCCTACCTAAACATCAGATTCATAATGGTGGCTTAATGACATTACATCTGTATATCTGTTTGCTAATTACTAGATTCCATTTATGGCATCATTACTTCTTATTTCAAAATGTGCTGCTACATATTAATGCTACATGTTTTTAATCCAATACAAAATTTTTCTTGTCAAGTACAGCCTCATCCAGTTTTGAAGTTGGCTGTCGATATTTGAGTTTAAAAAAAATCCAAAAAGGATAAACTGGTTGATATTCATGTTTAAAAAAAAACTAATTACAAACATTTTTGAGGACGATCCCTTCATAAAAGAATTGTGACCAACATATGTACTGAGTGGGACATTTAGTGGTTGAAAAAAACTTTGTAAAAACAATGTGGACACACTATTCCCAAAGTTTCTCAATAATTACATACGGCAATTCAATGCATTAAAGCCTGGTCACAGCAGCAGTTAAAAATGACAGAATTTTCCAATGAATTTGAGGTCAACTTTAATTAACTCTGACCCACAAATTTGCACTGTTGACCAATAACAAGCCGTGTTTACAGTGGTGACCTCTGAGGTGACAGAGCGCTGGAGAGTCCAAAATGGAGGAAGCTCTCGTAGCTTATTAGCTGTGTTGAACAATTGATTGTTCTTTAACCTGCTCTGTTGGAGGACAAACTCTAACTGACAGTCACGAGACAGGAGTCAATGGTACACATATGAATTTCTGAGAGCTCCTGTGATGAACTGGTGCTAGCCCAGCTGGCTAGCAAGTTAGCGGTTAGCTCACCAGCTACAGCTGTTCACCAACTATCCCTGCAAATATAGACATTACATCACCAAACTGCTAGAGCCAAATCTTTCACAAAGACGTGGTGTGAACAGGCCTTTAAGCTAGTATTAGTCGATATATTGGCCGGGCGAATAAATCGGCCTGTCTCTGTTTAGAAAACCTCTGTGATGGCCCTGTAAGGATTCCCTTTCATTCCTAACAGGAACAATATTTTAAGTTGGACCATGAATAAGAAGCAGCAGCATCACTATAACCACCACACTATCACTATTGTCTTTTTCTCAGACAAACACATTTTCTACCACCTAAATGAACAACATTGAAATCATGACAGTGAGTGTGCGTGTTAGGGAGGAAAAGCTCAGCTGTGAATCCTCATCAGTGCGTCATCATTCACACACAGAGGGCGACTCATCCATGCGCAGCAGGGACAGAAGCACAAAGCACATACTGTATACCCCTTGCTTGCAGCCATATAAGTAGCCTTAATGTGTATTTGCTGAATGACAAACACACATAAGACGTGCACCTTGCCATCACACACCCCAAATACCACCCACCCTAGCATAAAATTAAAGATGAACAGAGTGGACCTGTGTCTGCTCTCTTATTGCTTTACATAATGTTTTCTGGGCAATCCATCATTTTTGAAACATGAGGCATCTGTCACAAAAACTTAACTGCTGAAAGGAAAAAAAAAATCAAGATCCATCAGCTACATCTTTGCCATCTTTGTGTGGCTGATTTGACCAGAGCCACTGCAAAAAAAAAAAAAAAAAGCATCACAAAATCAAACTTAAATAAGCCAGCAAACAAATGTAGATAACACTATCCACGAGAAGTGTAAAGGGACATTTTCATTGGCACGTGCCAGCCATGCACTTTCATTCAGACTCTATATCTATTTAATCTATTTCTACATGATTGTTTGACTCGCTCTCAATGCTTGAATGCATGTAAAATGTCTATCTGATCTAAAGCTAATGTCCTCAATGACAATCCTAACAACTCAGGAGCCTGACAGAGTATAAGGTCATACTATGCATCTGATGTGTGACAAAATGAATTTTTTTTTTTGGCAAAATAAGTGTCTTAATAAGACAAAAGATAGTTCCAAAGTGCTTATGGCAGATTGCAGTTCACCATCCATTATCTTCCATGAAATATTACTGCACTATTTAAATATGGGCAGCAGGCATTACTCCCAGCTGTGGAGAAAGACACACACAGGCGGTCATAGGGCTCCTCATACTGATCCTAGACCAGCAGAGTGGGTATTCATGGCGACTATTACAAGACAGGTTGGTCATTGTGTCCAACACATACGGGATTTTATATAAGAAACACCTACATTTTTTTACACCATATGACAGAGGGGATGATATTATATTTGCAGGCTATCTATACTATTTATACTCTTATAGAATCAAATATTCTATCTATTAAATCTGAGAATCAAATCAGATCCATTTATATATTTACACTGAACTGTGTTCATTCACATAAATCCTGTACAGTTTCCCTACGTATCAATGTCATATCAATACAAGGCGTTTAGGGGTTCCGTTGAAAACACACAAGGCTGGGTGGTGCAAGTTGCTACGAGGGACAGCGGGGGGGGGGGTCACAAGCACTTAGTTGCCAAGGTTACAACAACAGGATGACAGGTAGAAGGTTGTGACTGCGGATGATGTCGACCACGTGGAGGAGTTTCTCAGCAGCGGCGTCATTTACTCCTGGTTTTCATGCTTCTAGTTCCTACTTTTCATTCTTTTTTCTGCGTCTTTTCTCTTTTCCTCCACTTTTCTTTTATATGCTGCCTCTTTTTTCTTCCGTCCATCTCTGACTTTTTTCCTTTTTGACCTATGCCTCACTGCCTTTCCTTCTACTGCAATCATTCCTCCACTACAGTGTGCCATCCTCAACTTCTCCACCAGCACAGGCGACAACAAAAATACTCCCCAGTTATTTTCTGTTCAAAGAGGTAGGGGACATGTGTGCAGGTGGGGATGCAGCACCCTCCTGTGGTGTGCGCATTTGTAGTGTGTCCTGTAAGTGTATGCTTTGTCAACACTTGAGCTGGTCTATTTCAGAGCACTCTGTGTCCATGTCAGAGTCATATAGCGAGTGGCCTGTAGGGTCGCTGTCCGGCGACGGCGGGTCCTGTGGCGTGTGGGTGTGTGGGGTGTGTGTGTGTGTATCGTCCTGGAAAGTGTCCGTGCGGGAGTAGAGACCCAGATCGGGGAGTTTGGACTCGCTGCCCTCTGTGATGTCGTTGTAGCAGAAGTCCTCCAGGTCCACGAACCACTCGGGCCAGAAACGCCGGCGGATACGCTCACAGTACATGGCCAGGTTGATCAGCTCACCTGGAGGGAACAGAGAGCTGAGTGGGTAAGGCGCTGTGAAAACAGCATGCAGTCTGACTCATGAATAAAACACAGCGGGCATTAGAGCTAAAACGATTTGTCAATTAATCGATTTGTCATTCTGCAGAACAATAAATGGCAACAACTGATTTTTTTATGGTTCAAGTAATTTAATTTTTCAAGTGAAAATATCAAACATTTTCTTGTTCCACCTTCTGAATTGTGGAGATGTGCTTCTTTTCTTTGTCATATCGAGACTAAACAGAATATTTTGTTTTGTTTTTTCACTTTTTGTTTGACATTTTATAGATCATATATCTAAACCAAAACAATTAATCGATTATCCAAGACAATGAACTACAGACGAATCAATAATGGAAGTAACCATTAGTTGGAGCCCTAACTAACTAAATCTAAGGGCTCTGAAGATGATTGACAAGAAAGGAAGAAGACGAGAAAAAATTCTGTGTCCTTTAAATTTTACCTCTATCAAAATAAAACATCCCGAGAGAGGAACATCACTTTTTAGTTGCTTTTACGTTTACTACTAGTGATGAGACCGGCGCCTTAGTCAATGATCAGATTTTTCTATGTTTCAATGTTTCAGCTTCGATTCACTTCTATTCACTTCCCTCCTTCCTACTCAACATGTAAATTTCCCTGATCTGTCCTTGTTTAGATATGACATGGTGCTGTGGTTGTCATGGAGACTGTCTTTCCGCTGGATGACCTGGGATTAAGTCCTATGTCGCCTGTCATCTTGAGTGAGATAACCTATCTGCTCCTTAGGTACTGGTCTACAGCAAAAACTGTGCTCTGATATCTCTGTAAGAAGGCGAGAAAAGTCACAATCAGAATCAATATCAAATATGATGCTATAATTATTACAGTCTTCAGGATAGTGAGTACACAAGTTCCATAGAATTAATTAAAAACTGATTACAGATTGAGATAGAGAGGTATGGTTAAAAAAAACAAAAAAAAACATGCTTAGCTTGCGGGGGACTCATCCTTTTTCTGTGAATTTTGTTTCAAGCACATTACACTTGAAACAGTGAATCATATCTGAACATCAGTTCTGTGCTTGTGTTAAGCTGTCAAGATAATAATAAAGGAGAGATGTGTTTGACTCTTTAAAAGAGACAAATGTCAAACACACATAGTTCAGTGTGTATAAAACGTTATGGCAGTGAACATGTCTTGGGTTCAGCAATGTAAAAGTTACAGTTTTATTCGATGTTTTAATGATGCTGCCCTAACAGAGCATACAGTCAAAATAGATTAATGAAGAGCATGGTTTACTCTTTTTAAAAAAAGATAAAATATTTAATATTATATACGCAGATGTTTCCACCAGCATATGATAGATCTCTGCAAATACAGCTGAAACTGTCTGCATGTCGCCCATTTTGACGGGCTTACCTTTAATTAGCTGCTCTGGACGTGTTCCTGGTAGCGTCCACATAGCAGGGGCCAGGTGACTGAACACTGCAGCGTCTACTGTTGAAAGCTTAGAGCCCATGAGGTACTTCTTATCACCTAAGACAACACACAGAAAAAATATGTCACGTTAAAAACACACAATAATTGCATAAGTATGCTTTCCCTCTGTCTGTATTTTCAGAGACATCTGGATTTTGTTACATAATCTTAACTTCTGACATTAAAAATAATTTTTATATGGGAAGTGTATGGCCGCATGAGAAGGAAAAATAATGAGAGATCCAGTTCTGGCCACAAAGTAAAAGGCATCGGAGATGAGTTGATGCCTTTAGGCTTTGCAACATGTAACCTTAGGAAGCACTATTTATCATGGCTCAACAACACTTCCCACCGCATATGTCTCTCTGCCACAAACTGCCAGAGGTTGTGGTCTGGTTGCAATGTTAAGTTTCACCACAGGAGGTCTGTATTGAGCTATCCTGCTATCCACAAGTACAAACATGACAGTTCTTAAGACACACACAGCCTTTTGCAAATAAAAATGTTTATCTGTTTGCAGGTTAAACAATGTGAACACACAGGTGACAGAAATTGTGACAAAGTCCACAAATGTCTTTGGCTAAACAGTGGACTCATAAACACAAAAGAAAATACAACTGTGCTGCACTGACTTTTATATGGCCAAATGTAATATATATATGTAATAGATTCTAACCTTCCAAATCATGAGCATCAGTATTTATGAATTTAAAAAATAACATCTCGATTTCTCACCTAGCAGAGTGGCCAGGGTGCGCATGTCCTTCTCCATCAGGGCGTAAACCTCCTCCCTAGAAAACCGCCCGATCCCGTGCCCGTACATCTCCCTCTTGACAATCCCACCAGTCAGGTGACTCAGGATCCACTTGAGCAGATCACTCAGTGGCCCGCTCATCGACAGCATCTTCTGGGTCTCCTCCAGGTTGTCCACCCACTGACAGTAAGCTATGGTCCTGGGACACAAATACACAGACATATACTACCAGTACTACCGCTGTTACTGCAGCCAAGACTGTTAAGAAGAACCTTTGGCTTGACATTTCTCAGCCAAATAAAATAAATACTGTAAAAGTAAACAAAAAACACACTCTGAATCTATATAAAGAAACAACAATACTGAAAGAAAAAAAAACCACTGGTCCCTTACCAGTAGAAATGTTCCTCCACCATTTTGGTGATGGCACGGGACATGGCCTTCTCCTGTGGCGTCAGGGTCTTGTTGAGGCTCACACCCAGTCTCTCCTCCAGGAAGTCGATGATGAATTCGGTGCCACACACCTGCTCCTGGTTGTACTCAATCCACGGCATCTTTCCCTGCGGTGAAAGCTTCCCATCAAAGTAGTTCTGCAGGAGAAAATGGATTCAGGGAAGGCAGGGGGAGGAAAACCATGATAAAGGAGAAACAGAATAGAGAAAGTGGTTGGTGATAAGTATTAGGTGAATTAAATTGTAATTGGATCAAGAGAAAACATTTAATGGAAATTTTAATTATCCCTTGCAGGAAACTGAGTGATTGCAGACAGCAGCAACTTAGAGTTTTACAATAATTAATCACAGCAAAAGTAATTAACGCAAAAGAACAAACTAAGGATTTTTCCACAAAAAATGGACACTCACTCTCAATTCTAAACATACGCTTTTAAAGAGACAACATAGTAATGTTTTATATTCTGTCACAGACATATAAGCATCGTTTTACCTGGTAGGGCAGGTCAACCATGCGGAGGTAGGTCTCCATCTTAAGGCAGAAAGGGGACAGGGACGGGGCGCCAGTTTTGGGCCTGGAAAACTGGTGGAGTATGATGGCATCTTTAGAGTCCAGCTCTTCCTCCTTTCTGTGTGGAGCAAAGAATGACAAGGCAGCACATCAAGTAGGAAGAAAGGCTTGTAAAAGCAAACTCTTTCTCTCTCTCTTTCTCTCTGTCTCTCTCTGTGTTTTTTTTAAGTTTATTTACTTATTTGATAGGGACAATGCAATTTAACATAAAACAGGGTACTAATGTGTTGCACAAAGAGTTTATAGCTATTGCTAATTCTCGACTCTAGTTGGACTTTTACATGTGTAATGGAATTAAAAGTCAAAAGAAAAAAAAAGTGTGTGTGTGTTTATATACTTGCATTACTACTGCTGTATTTCTGTTCACAGTCACATTATGGGCACTTGCCTCCCATTTGGGGACAACAAGCCAGTTCCCACAATGTTAACCATTCAATTAAAGGCTTAAACTTTAAAGTTGGGGTTCAGGTCAGGTATCTTAAGGTAAAGCTGGATTACCAACAATGCAAAGCAGCTGACCCAGGGGCCACAACATTCTCAGGTTCATTGTTCATTATTTTGGTTAATATTGTATTCAAGTGGTCTGTATATTCCTAAATAAAGTTGTATCTAATCAAATTAACATAAATTAAGTAGTATTCTATTATAGGTGTACCAGTTGCACTGAACTTAATGGGAATTTGAAGACAGCAAAGGACGTACACATTGTAATAAGGCTGATTTTCCTCTGGGCTAACTAACAGTTTAATGCAGCCTGAGGCTTGGGTAAGTCTCTAGGGCATTAATGGAAGTCACACAATATCCTCCTAAGTGACAAAAACGAGTTAGTGTGTGTGGGCTCTCTATGAGAGCCAATTTCAGTTTTAAACCATCGCAGCATAGTGAGGACATTTTGGTTAGTCTTTATTATTTTTCAGACTCATTTTAAAACGAATGGTTAGAATAAGATTTGGGATTGGCTAAATGGACTGCCCTTTTCTAGTCTTATCAACCACTCAAAGCACTTTTCACTCTATCACACACACACACATACACATTGGGGGCAATTTGGGGTTCAGTGTCTTGCCCAAGGACACTTCGACATGCAGAGGAAGCTGGGGATCAACCAACTGACATTTCAAGTAGTGGACTCTACCACCAGAGCCACAGCACTGTAATGATTAAATGAGGGTCCTCACAAGTATAGAAGTGTAGTGTGCCTGTGGGTGTGTGTGGGTAAAATAGGCTATCATATGATAAATCAAGTGATTGTGATTGAGTGAATAAATCAAATGATCTGCAACCAAGGTCCTTTAACTGGCCCTGAGTGACTGTCAGCCCTGGGCCATTTGCACTGGCTGCCTTATTATTTTCACACTGCAGTGTGAAAATAATAAGGCATACCCTTCAGAAAGATTATGGTGCATTCACGTGGATAGTGTTGGAGATGCACAGCTACTTAATGGACAAGCACGGGCCTACAAATGGCAACAAATTCACGTGGGCACAATGCAGAATTACAGGGAGCTGTCCAATGTGAAAGGTGCTGAACCGTAAAAAAACACAAGCAGCAGCCTGAGAGCAGAAGAGCTGTCTGTTCCACTTTGGTGCTGAAATGCCCGCTGACTCAAAGGCAGTTTTTAATAGGGTAACGTAAAGAATGCATTGCTGTTTGATACAAAAGCTAGTATATGTATATATGAATATATCTGCAATATTTCACTGCACAACAAATGGCCTGTATTTCCGCCATGTATAAAAATCGATTAACAACAGCTATAAGGAAACCAGTCTGCTGCGTGTAAGGCCGACACACCAGAATGTCTCTCGTTGTCAGCAGATGTAAAAATCACATAAATATCAGTTTTAATTTTCCTAACGACTCCAAAACTGCACCGCCTCCGTATGACTTTTGTTGTGATATCAAGTGTCCTTCTAAGCTGTGTTGTCGTACAGCTGTAGGCCTGGACTGCAGTTAACCCGAGACAGACTCGCTCTATCAAACCCCCAGTTCTGACAATGAATATTCAATAAAAATGAATGCAAATATAATTATATCTGTCACATAACCTTTTACTTTACAACTACCATACCTGGCTTTGGTGTTTTAATGTTTACATTAGAGGTTGTAAAAGGCTTTTTCCCCATAACTGCAGTGATTTAGACTGAAACCTAACACTGGAACATGTGTATGAAAGCTGGGGGGTCACGATAAAGCAAACAAAAGGTGAACCTACACCATGTCGCCTCGTCCTTGAAATACAGACAAATGAAAGTGACCTGCTGTCACAATCTGTAATGTCAGTTCATGTGAGAAGGGAGCTGTGTGTAATAGGCCCTTGGGCTGGCAGGCTAACCACTCAAACAAACAGCATGGGAAATGAGCCATTATAATGGTTTTATAATCGTTATAATTTTTGAAAGACCGACGCCAAAATAAAAGCCCATGCAGTAGATCAAGCTCACGTCATTAATTCACAAAAATAAGCCAATAAAGATGGAAATCTCCTGATGTGTGTGTTTGGCTGGGGGGTGGGGGGTTCCGTTACATCATAACCCACCCACTCACGATTCCTTATTTTCCACCGACTCCGCTCTCACCCCGCCCAACCTGTCGAGATTAAGTAATATCAAACCCCAGTGAAAATACAGCAGAGCTGGGAGATCTGGAGTGACAATATGAACACAATACGATCCACAGAGTATGCTCTAGCCCAAGAGGCCTGACAGTGGGAAGTGATGAGCTCTGCAGCCTCTACAGTGACTCCTCTGACAGCCTCTGTGTTATTGGTACCTGATGGCCAGCAGTTCGTGCAGCAAATAAGCAGCGGCAGCGAGCAGAGCCCCTCCAGTCAAATACAGCGTTTTCCGCCACCACGAGTCCGAGCCCAAAGCTGACATTATCCCGCCGTAGTCCTGCAGTGGGTAGGCGATAATGTACCCATAAAACGAGAGCTGCTCATCGGAGCCCAGCAGGCCGGAGGAGAAGCTCTGGTTCTGGCCAAGATCAACCACACACGACCGCGTCCAGGCGAACCCGACGCGCCAGTACATGCTCTCTGTCTCCGGCCACTTTCCGCCTCACTCTAGCAGCTCGGGGCTTCATCAGCGGGGGCTTCATGGGTGCCGAGGGCCGCGGGTACTGGGCGACTGGGTGAGCAGAAGCCGACTGGACACAAACATCCCGCCCGGGGCTTGTCCCCGCAGCGGGGTCGACATCCTCCGCAGCCCGCTCGGAGCTCGCTGGTTGTGGCCTCCCTCCTCTCACTGTCAAGGCAGTGAAAAGACACAACACAGCTTCCGGTTACTTCTTACAAAATAAAAGTGGTTTTAAGGATGGCGTTTTGTAACGTTCTTGGACATATGCCAAATAAAAACATACAGATAAATCTGCAAGTGAAAACACCTGTTTCTTGCTTCCTACATGTCCTATTCAGAATTTGTATTAGATATTACGGCAAGGCAGATTTACCCAAGGGTGTATTGGTCTCAACATTGGTAGCGACACAGCAACCCCTCCAGACCTCAAAAAGAAAGTCTGTCAGCTTATAGAGATATGTTACATAAATATATATCCATCCCAAAGCCTGTCAGTATATGTTCATATTATATATGTAAATATAAAAGATAGACATATATGTTAAAATTTAATTAGAGTCATATACAAACATATAGAATTTTAATAACCATGTTTTTTTGATCAACTTTACTATGAGTATTTCACATATGTTAGAAATTATATCTTCATATACCCAGAGAATGTATATATGTCATAATAATATATCCTTTTATAGGTGACATATATGGTAACATCACTTATGATATAGGGACATGTAAGCCTATGTCATATGTCATAGGTCATAGTATAGTAAGCAATGAAGAAAATACCACAGTACAATAAGGCATAAAAACATCAACGTATAGTAAGGGATAAAAAGACATAGTATAATGAGGCATAAAAAATTATAGTATATTAAGGCATAAAAATGACATAGTATAGTAAGACATAAAAACTCAGTAAGGCGTTAGAAGTCATAGGATAATAAGGCATAAAAATGTCATATTATAAGAAGGTATTAGAGTCGCCAATAAACTGAGTGCTCATCATGTCTTTGGATTGGGGGAGGAATCTGGAGTATTCAGAGAAATACCACGCCGGCACCGGTAGGACATGCAAATTCTACGGAAAGGCCCCAGGCCCAGTAGTCAAACCCAGAAGACTCTCACTGTGGGCAACCAGTTTTAACCACTGCATCACCGTGTCGCCACATAAATGAATCATCATATATTAAGGCACGAAAACGTGATAGTACAGTAAGGTATGAAAAAACTCATTGTATAGTGAGGCATAAATTGTAATAGTATAGTAAGGTATAAAAATTTTTTAAAAATGTCATAGTGAGTAAGGCATAAAAATGTGAAACAACGTCATACTATAATAAGGCATAAAAATGTAAAGAAAATGTCATAGTATAGTAAGGCATAAAAACTTCATAGTATAGTATGTCATAAAAATGTCAAATAATTTCATAGTATAGCAAGGCATAAAAATGTCAAAAAATATCATATATAATATAAACTCATTATAATAAGTCATAAAAAGTAATAGTATAGTATGTCATAAAAATGTGAAAAAGTATCATAGTATAGTAAGACATAAAAATGGAAAATAATGTCATAGTATAGTAAGGCATGAACATGTGAAAAAGTGTCATAGTATTATAAGGCATAAAAACATGATAGTATAGTATGTCATAAAAATGTGATAGTATAGTATGTCATAAAATTGTCAAATAATGTCATAATATAGTATGTCATAAAAATGTGAAAACGTGTCATAGTATAATAAGGCATAAAAATTTGATAGTATAGTATGTCATAAAATTGTCAAATAATGTCATAGTATAATAAGGCATAAAAATGTGAAATAATGTCATAGTATAGTAAGGCATAAAAATGTGAAAAAGTGTCATAGTATAATAAGGCATAAAAATGTGATAGTATAGTATGTCATAAAATTATCAAATAATGTCATAGTATAATAAGGCATAAAAATGTGAAAAAGTGTCATAGTATTATAATAAGGCATAAAAATGTGAAAAAATGTCATAGTATAGTAAGGCATAAAAATGTGAAAAAGTGTCATAGTATAGTAAGGCATAAAAATGTGAAAAAGTGTCATAGTATAATAAGGCATGAAAATGTGAAAAAGTGTCATAGTATAATAAGGCATAAAAAGTAATAGTATAGTAAGGCATAAAATTGTCAAATAATGTCATAGTATAGTATGTCATAAAAATGTGAAAAAGTGTCATAGTATAATAAGGCATAAAAATGTGAAAAAGTGTCATAGTATAATAAGGCATAAAAATGTGATAGTATAGTAAGGCATAAAATTGTCAAATAATGTCATAGTATAGTATGTCATAAAAATGTGAAAAAGTGTCATAGTATAGTAAGGCATAAAAATGTGAAAAAGTGTCATAGTATAATAAGGCATAAAAATGTGATAGTATAGTAAGGCATAAAATTGTCAAATAATGTCATAGTATAGTATGTCATAAAAATGTGAAAAAGTGTCATAGTATAGTAAGGCATAAAAATGTGAAAAAGTGTCATAGTATAATAAGGCATAAAAATGTGATAGTATAGTAAGGCATAAAATTGTCAAATAATGTCATAGTATAGTATGTCATAAAAATGTGAAAAAGTGTCATAGTATAGTAAGGCATAAAAATGTGAAAAAGTGTCATAGTATAATAAGGCATAAAAATGTGATAGTATAGTAAGGCATAAAATTGTCAAATAATGTCATAGTATAGTATGTCATAAAAATGTGAAAAAGTGTCATAGTATAGTAAGGCATAAAAATGTGAAAAAGTGTCATAGTATAATAAGGCATAAAAATGTGAAAAAGTGTCATAGTATAATAAGGCATAAAAATGTGAAAAAGTGTCATAGTATAATAAGGCATAAAAATGTGAAAAAGTGTCATAGTATAATAAGGCATAAAAATGTGAAAAAGTGTCATAGTATAATAAGGCATAAAAATGTGAAAAAGTGTCATAGTATAATAAGGCATGAAAATGTGAAAAAGTGTCATAGTATAATAAGGCATAAAAATGTGAAAAAGTGTCATAGTATAATAAGGCATAAAAATGTGAAAAAGTGTCATAGTATAATAAGGCATAAAAATGTGAAAAAGTGTCATAGTATAATAAGGCATAAAAATGTGAAAAAGTGTCATAGTATAATAAGGCATAAAAATGTGAAAAAGTGTCATAGTATAATAAGGCATAAAAATGTGAAAAAGTGTCATAGTATAATAAGGCATAAAAATGTGAAAAAGTGTCATAGTATAATAAGGCATAAAAATGTGAAAAAGTGTCATAGTATAATAAGGCATAAAAATGTGAAAAAGTGTCATAGTATAATAAGGCATAAAAATGTGAAAAAGTGTCATAGTATAATAAGGCATAAAAATGTGATAGTATAGTAAGGCATAAAATTGTCAAATAATGTCATAGTATAGTATGTCATAAAAATGTGAAAAAGTGTCATAGTATAGTAAGGCATAAAAATGTGAAAAAGTGTCATAGTATAATAAGGCATAAAAATGTGATAGTATAGTAAGGCATAAAATTGTCAAATAATGTCATAGTATAGTATGTCATAAAAATGTGAAAAAGTGTCATAGTATAGTAAGGCATAAAAATGTGAAAAAGTGTCATAGTATAATAAGGCATAAAAATGTGAAAAAGTGTCATAGTATAATAAGGCATAAAAATGTGAAAAAGTGTCATAGTATAATAAGGCATAAAAATGTGAAAAAGTGTCATAGTATAATAAGGCATAAAAATGTGAAAAAGTGTCATAGTATAATAAGGCATAAAAATGTGAAAAAGTGTCATAGTATAATAAGGCATAAAAATGTGAAAAAGTGTCATAGTATAATAAGGCATAAAAATGTGAAAAAGTGTCATAGTATAATAAGGCATAAAAATGTGAAAAAGTGTCATAGTATAATAAGGCATAAAAATGTGAAAAAGTGTCATAGTATAATAAGGCATAAAAATGTGAAAAAGTGTCATAGTATAATAAGGCATAAAAATGTGAAAAAGTGTCATAGTATAATAAGGCATAAAAATGTGAAAAAGTGTCATAGTATAATAAGGCATAAAAATGTGAAAAAGTGTCATAGTATAATAAGGCATAAAAATGTGAAAAAGTGTCATAGTATAATAAGGCATAAAAATGTGAAAAAGTGTCATAGTATAATAAGGCATAAAAATGTGAAAAAGTGTCATAGTATAATAAGGCATAAAAATGTGAAAAAGTGTCATAGTATAATAAGGCATAAAAATGTGAAAAAGTGTCATAGTATAATAAGGCATAAAAATGTGAAAAAGTGTCATAGTATAATAAGGCATAAAAATGTGATAGTATAGTAAGGCATAAAATTGTCAAATAATGTCATAGTATAGTATGTCATAAAAATGTGAAAAAGTGTCATAGTATAGTAAGGCATAAAAATGTGAAAAAGTGTCATAGTATAATAAGGCATAAAAATGTGATAGTATAGTAAGGCATAAAATTGTCAAATAATGTCATAGTATAGTATGTCATAAAAATGTGAAAAAGTGTCATAGTATAGTAAGGCATAAAAATGTGAAAAAGTGTCATAGTATAATAAGGCATAAAAATGTGATAGTATAGTAAGGCATAAAATTGTCAAATAATGTCATAGTATAGTATGTCATAAAAATGTGAAAAAGTGTCATAGTATAGTAAGGCATAAAAATGTGAAAAAGTGTCATAGTATAATAAGGCATAAAAATGTGAAAAAGTGTCATAGTATAATAAGGCATAAAAATGTGAAAAAGTGTCATAGTATAATAAGGCATAAAAATGTGAAAAAGTGTCATAGTATAATAAGGCATAAAAATGTGAAAAAGTGTCATAGTATAATAAGGCATAAAAATGTGAAAAAGTGTCATAGTATAATAAGGCATAAAAATGTGAAAAAGTGTCATAGTATAATAAGGCATAAAAATGTGAAAAAGTGTCATAGTATAATAAGGCATAAAAATGTGAAAAAGTGTCATAGTATAATAAGGCATAAAAATGTGAAAAAGTGTCATAGTATAATAAGGCATAAAAATGTGAAAAAGTGTCATAGTATAATAAGGCATAAAAATGTGAAAAAGTGTCATAGTATAATAAGGCATAAAAATGTGAAAAAGTGTCATAGTATAATAAGGCATAAAAATGTGAAAAAGTGTCATAGTATAATAAGGCATAAAAATGTGAAAAAGTGTCATAGTATAATAAGGCATAAAAATGTGAAAAAGTGTCATAGTATAATAAGGCATAAAAATGTGAAAAAGTGTCATAGTATAATAAGGCATAAAAATGTGAAAAAGTGTCATAGTATAATAAGGCATAAAAATGTGATAGTATAGTAAGGCATAAAATTGTCAAATAATGTCATAGTATAGTATGTCATAAAAATGTGAAAAAATGTCATAGTATAGTAAGGCATAAAAATGTGAAAAAGTGTCATAGTATAATAAGGCATAAAAATGTGAAAAAGTGTCATAGTATAATAAGGCATAAAAACATGATAGTAGAACCTTCTTACTGTGAGGAGACAATTTTTACCACTAGACTACTGAGTAAACGCAGTATTCAATGTTTGGAGAATAACCATAAAATGGTCATACTATAGTGAGGCATAAAACATCATAATATAGTAAAGTCACCATTTTTCTGGTGACTTTAGTTACCACTGTGATATTCTCACATGACCTGAGCCTTCAGATAGCCATTCATAAAATGAATGATTGTAGGTTTTATTTTGAAGGACACATAATGTAGCTTGTGGTATTATTTCCGCTGCTCTCTGTGTGCTTCATGCAGCTACAGTGACATCACGGGGACTGACTGTACCTATGGTAGGAACGCCTAGAGGCAACTACTGGTAAATACATCCTCTGATACCATTCAATCATTAAACTTAGAATTTCCCAACCATAAATCCTAAACAAGAGAAAAGTGTGTAATTTTATTATTATTCATTTTATTAGTAGTACAGACTTTTAATATCAAAACTTATGTGTACCATTTTACATATTCTTTGAACTCACCACTAGGGGTCCTACCACAGCCACTGTATTGAAGTGACATTGACGTTAGGTAAAAGGACTGTATAGGACTTCTATAACATGCTGGAAGATTCCCCAAAGTCCTTTACATAATATATGAACATGAAATAACAGCAGTAACCCACTTTGTTTTGCACATCATAAATTTTATTAGCATAATTGATCTTCCAAAAACAATAAACATAAATTTTCAAGTAAAACGATTTTGGGAAATGTTTTCATCAGAACTAGTAGGAATATTTGAGTGGGGTGAAGCCCTTTTATTTTCAGGCCCATTCATGTGAACAGTCATGTAACAGATGGAGCTTGCCAAAGGGGAGTAAAACAATAGAACAAGGCTGTATGGAACCTGCCTCAAAGGATTCAATGTTTCACCTCTGTCTACTCACTCAGTGCAAGAAACTGACACAGGGTGGCGTTTATCACAATGTTTTTATCTCTGTTTTGGGGGTTTTCCTACAGAGAAAAGTGTACAGGAAGCCACTGAGGGAAAAATGACAATGAATCCAACTGATGCAACAACATTAACCCCCTAAAATACATTTTACAGTTCACGTGAATGGGACAATGTGCTATTATGAAAGGTTTTCTCTGTAACCAGCAGCTTTTATTTTGTAAGGCTTTCAAGCACCTTGTTTTTGAGTACAGCCACACACACAGCTCCCACTGCATTACATCACAAAAATATAGAGACATCTACAGGTATATGCACACATATATTGCCACAATTCAATGATTAAATAGATGGCAAGGTAAATAAAAATAAGAATGTACAACCCAAATTAAAAATAATTGAAAAACTGTTTTCCACAAGACATTATTCTACAAAGAAAGCAGAATAAATGAACAAATAATTACATTAAAAAAGAAGAATGAGCTTTGCAGCAGGCAAAACGAATCATGACAGTGAAGCTAAACTAGCTCATGATTTCCATCAGTTTCCTTAATTAAGCAAAAACATGAAAGATACAATAAATGAACAGAATTATAAGGCTATTTACAAGTGCGAGAGGGAATGGGAGAAAGGAGGTGGAGTTGTCATGATTCAAAACAGTAAATTCTTGTGGACAAAGCTCATTTCTGCCTCAAAGAGGAGCCATCAGAGGGCAGGGGCATCCAATCACGTCACAGTTGCACAGGGTGATAGCCAATCAGATACACTCTTTAAACAGCACAGGATCAAATTATTTTACAGAGTAGACTACTGTACTATAGTCCCTGAGGAATGAAAACCCACCCAGACTGACTGCTCACATGTTGTACACACACAGACACACACACGCATACACAGTACTTGTGATCAAGTTTGCTCGAATCCCACGGAGCTCTGCATCAACTGCTGTGCTCATCTGGGCTGTTCAAGGATGTCAGGATCATCACAATGACAACTTTCTACCCCTGCACTTCTCCCATCACTCTACTGCAGTTTACAACATTCTTGGCTTCCCTCTCCCCCTCCCCCCGCAATGTTCCTCAGTTTTAGCTCATTTCAAGTCTATAGCAGAGTAGAGTGGACTCATCGAGACAACAAAGCTGCTGTCACCGACCCGCTGTTCACTGCAGGCATTTCAATCAATGGCTGCTTGCTCAATCCATAAACCCTTATTGATCGGATAAGGGGAAAGTGAAGACATGGGTCTCTGAGTTTGTTGGGGGTGTCAGTCGAAGATGAAGGGACATCTTGGTCAGATGAAAAAGTGATTTTCCAGACTGACATCGCAAAGTTTGTGCTGTGACATTTTAAAAAGGTCCATCCTTCTCTACATCAACATTATGGATCCCCATGGAAACAGACACCACACTAAGACTGGCTGTAGGAGTTGCTTTGGTTCCCGTTGGAGCTCTGGTCGCTCTCACTAGAGACAGGACAGAGAGAAAAATGGAAACACTCTATCATATGTGATACTTTATCTCTTCGAAGACAAAGTGAAGTTAACTGCAGTTGGGAGGAAATATAACTGCAGAAAAAAAGTACAAAAAGCGATGATCTGAAGTTACTTAATTAACTCATTAGCATGTCTGCATTTATTCAAAAACGACATTTCTGTAAATATGACTTAAAAATGTGATATTACGATTAGACAGTGAAGTACACAGAATTATGTTAAGAGTACTTTTTTTCTTTGTTACACATGGGAAAACCCACTCCAGTACATTCAGATTCAACATGACACCAGAAAAATGCAGCTTTATGCTGTTTGCAAATGGTTTATTGTACTCACTCATAAATAAATTAGCCACGCCCCATCAAATAAAAATGTACTGATTACAAAAGCAGGGTTGACATACATCAGATTTACCTGTTAGGAGGAGGTTTGGGCTTAGGCATCTTGTTTAGCACAGCCGCTATCTCCTTCCTGTCGTCAAAATTTTTCCACTGGTCGTATAGCTTCAGAATGACACGAATAATCTCCAGGATCTTGACAGAAAACACAAACACAAGATAACTCATCGTGAACCGCAGTTGACACCCCATGAAGATAAGTAGCACTTCATGGTGTAGAGACATCAAAGCCAGGGGAACTAGGAGATGACTATGACACTTTTGCTGCCTTGAAAGTGAAAAGTTGCATAATGTATATATAAAGGGTGGTAATTGTTTTGATAAAAAATGTTTGATTCTTCCTCATCAAAAATACTAGAGGCAACTTTAAATAATGCAACAGAGGTCAGTCTTACTTTGTCCATGTCAACAGAGAGCTCCGCAAACCACTGTCTGGCATCTTTCTGTTGTACCACACAGGCGACATGCAGACAGGCTGTGGGCGGAAAAGACAAACAACTGATCATGTTACATCTAATAAAGCTTGTTTTAAGTCTGTAACTACATTACATGGCAGCAATGAGAAATGCTTAGGGTCAGATCTTACCCAGGGCAATCATGAAGGGAGGGTAGAGCAGACACAGATCTGTCCTGTATGTGTCATTCACTATTCGCCTGGTACAGACACATTACAGCACAGTGAGTGAGGCTACCAAAAACAGCAAAATCTAGTTCTTTTTGCATTTAAATATCAAAAATTCTATGGCAAAAGCAACAGATAAATGCCCACAGACCAGGCCAGAGGCAGCAGCATGTCCTCCTGTCCCATGTCCTGCACATACTGCAACAGTGGTCTGTAAGGGTGGTACACGATCAGGCAGCAGTCCTGAAACATAAGTTACATCAGTGATAAGTCATCCAGACAACCGCTCAATTAGGCCAAACTCAGTAGCAAAGATAAAGATCTTTTCTACTCACCATCAACTCCAGAAGGTAGAACTCACATTCTAATATCTGTAAAGACACAAATTAAAATTGTATTGTTAGGCCATTAAACCGAATTAGTTAAAAATACAATCCATGTTTCAAATATAAGTGGAACATCAAGCTGGTTTGACGCTGCATGTGTTTTTAAGTAACCACCTGCAGTGATGCTACATTTGACAGCTCACACACACTTCCTCACTGAATGATACTACATTAAATATTAATATAAAGTAAAATCTACATTTTGCCTTTGATTATTTTTTGTATTGCCAGATGAAGCACCACAGATAAACACTTGTGAACAACCCCTATAACCAATGTTATCAACTATTGCAAAAACTATGTGTATATGTCCAGTCTGTCCCTGTGCCACTATCAATCACTTTTACTACATCTGCAGAGTGGACATGAAAATTAATGTGTAGGAGTTGCAGCACCCCGCTAACTTATTCTATACTATGTGAGCCGCTCCCTCCTTTTGTCGCTTCATGGTGGCTCACTATAAATAATAGTTAACACAGCTTTCTGGACAGGCAGTGTGTCAGGACAGCCCTTGTGACGTCCTGGCAACTCGGTGGAAATGATGGATAAATAAAATCCTGCACTTGACACCACAGTGAGAGATGCTGTGCAGAATGAATGCATGCACACTTGTGCACAGGTGGCCATGGTCGAAGCTTTCTCTCACAGCAACAGAGATTTCATCATAGAACTGCGAACATTAGTTGTGGAATCTCACGTATTGATAGACACTAATGTGGCAACACTGTGTTGGTATGCTGTAATGTAGCACAGCAGTGCATAAATAACTTTGCAGAGGAAGCAGGAAAACAACTAGCATACATGATCCACTGGCACATGGCTATTTTAGTGGTTTAACTAGTGAATTATGTCAAGCTTTGTTTTACTGTTTTAGCATTAATTTGAAACACAGTCTATGTCTATATGTAGACCTCCACTCAAACCTGACCCTTGTTCATACATGAATTAATGTCATGCCCATCCTTCAAACACACACAAATATTTCAATACTCTAATTAAGCACTTTATTTGTCAGTGTGTTATTGGGCTGCAGGCAAGGTGATTACTCTACTTTTACTTATTATGTTGTAGCATTTACAGTTTCATGAATGTTATTTAATGCTTATTTGCACATTGCACTTACAGTAATTCGCACTGTTTAACAGCAACTAAATCCGACAAATGTAAACTGTTACAAAGACTTTTTACTTACATGATTCATTCTGTAAGGGAACTCCTTTGGGAAGGCATAGGAGAACCTTGTTTTCACTGTTGGAGAGTAAAAAAAAAACCCAAAATGATTGTAGGGGAAAGCACACTTTGACCGATATGGACTGCAACAGTGGTGCTATACTCACAAGTTTAGGAAATATATTAATGAAAGTTGACACTTACACACAGATGTTGCTGCAGAGATCAGCCTGGTATTAGATACAACTCCAAATTCCTGAAATGTTTAAGATAAATCATGAAAACTCATGTCAAAAATCTAATGCAGGCCATAGACTTGTATTTTGCTCACTCATCATTTCCCATGGTCTAAGACGCTCAAAATGTGTTAATGTAAAATTATCATGTTGCAGGCAACATAGAAACTTCCATACCTCAACTTTGGAAGCCAGGAAAACACAGGTAGGAGCCATGAGCACCGGGTCTATACTTTTCAGGGAATACCTGCAAACAAGAAGAGATAAGTAATGATCAACTTTTCGATCCTAAGAGTAAGACTTAAAGACAAAAACATGAGAAGAGACAAGAAAGATCTTACACTTCAAAAGCTATAATAACCTCACATAAAGGGTTACAGGCAAAGTGCCCACTAGCTTTCAACTATTATATTATATTATTGTGGGTAATGCAGTGGTGCATTTGCGATACTCTATACTACTGCTTCTACGCAACTGCCTCACTGAATAGATGTGTTCAGTTTTCTCTGCTTTGATACTCTATACTAGACACATTACTAATAATTTTGACTCGTCACAGCAGAAAAAGCACAGGTATAGTTTATACTGCTAACAATGGCTTGGATCCATTAAATGTGAGCCAGTAAACCTTGTCAGTGAACCACCATAGACAGTGCCAGGACCCTGTAACTAATAAAGCTAAATGGTGTGCAGCCTTTATTGATTTTATTGAGTATACCTGTGGTTTTCCTGCTGTGTCATGTCAAATGTATGCTGTGAAAAAGGCCTACATGGATATAATGGCCAAGCAGATGATGTCATTCACTGTTTAGATAATGTTGTCTTCTAAATGTTGTTCACCCTAAGGAGACAACATTAGACTGTACCACCTATTACTATAATAAATACATATTATGAGATTTGAGTTCTGAATTGCTATATCCAAGCTCTGCCTACTCCTTACCTGGCATAGAAGCGTTTGAAGTAGACAGTTGCAGTGGCAATGACCTGCTGCCGCAGCTTCAGGTGTTCCCCTAAAGCCTGGATGACTGAAAGAGATGGAGAAAAATGTTACAGTTCTTCTGTTTTTATTGAACAATATGTGAGTGTACAGGGAACATGTCACATACATGCACGTACATACATGTCATTCTCAGTTATGTATATAGGGTATTATCAATACTGTATTAGCAGATGTGGTGCTGTGTTATTAAGTGTAAAAGAATAACAGACATTTAACTAACGCTGACTTCAGGCCAAAACATACGATGACACAAATATAAATACCATTGGCAAAGAAGATCTGCAGCTTCCAGTACTCCTCTTCTGTGAGAAATTTCAAGTCCTTCTGTCGCTCTTTCATCAGGTCCTGTTTATCCAGGACCCACTGCAGACTTTAAAAGATAAAATAAACATCATTATTAAAATGTAATCACACTTACTGTGAGCAACCCAGCTAGCGAGTAGCACAACAACATCAGCACTTACTCCACTGTGCTAGCTAAATACGTTGCGGTCGCGAAGCATGAAAACTATAAAAGGAAGGTAGTCTAATTCAGCTTTTAAAAACGACATATCTGAAAAACGTTTCTCTCTATTTATGTATGTCAGTGTATATTTTTCTTACAATAGCAGGAGTTCAGGAGAGACAGCTAGCGTCGCCGTACGATGCCGCACAAAACACAGCTAGGCCTCACAACAAAGACAGCGATTTACAAAATAAAGACATAACATGTCAAATTGTTAGTAAAAACTTACTAATGGGAACTCTGCCAGAAGTTACCCGCCATGTCGTAGTAGTTGAGGTAGAGAAGAACACTTTAAATTGATATTACTTTCGCACAAAGAAGTGAATACCACAGGCAAAATAGTTACGCTAAGCAGACACTGGAGTAACACGAAAACTCTTTCGGAGCGTCAATAGAATGGTTCCGGAATTTTAGTTCCACCCGCAAAACTTCAACACGAAGGTTTAATTAAAAGTTTATCATTTTCCTTGGTATCATTCTATTCGAAATACACATTTTCGTCAATTTTATTGGAAAAAAACAGATGTGTTTCCCGGTGCAAAATATTTGGATGGAGGCATAAATTAGTGGCTGGATGTATTGACAAATTCATGGAAATGCAACGAAATGAAATACAATATGAACAAAATATCTAATAAAACATTATGAGCGAATGTGCAGTTAATGTGGGTGAAAAACGCATTACATTACATAAAATGGGATAGTGTAGTGGAGAATTTCACGATTATAAAATTGAGATTCTTTCAACCGTCTATAATAAATTAATTTCTTGACGTAACTGTGCTAAATGTTTGTAGCCTGGGGTTAAGAAGGTTCAACATTCCTCTGCAGTGCTGAGGGGAAGGGCTGAGGAGGATATAAAGGCGCCACCACAGCAGCTGAAGGTGTGAGTGACCAGTTTCCAGTCTCTAGTTGAAGTTGCAGCAGTTACAGGAAAAGTCAACATGAGCCGCAGTCCAGAGAGGATGTCATCATATAGACGTCATTTCGAGGGCTCCCTGGCCGCCCCTCCCGCCTACCAGCTCCGGGTGTCCAGTCCCTCTCCCACCCGCAGGGAGACCCGCTCGGCCAGCTTCACTCGAAGTGGTGGAACGATGGGGCGTAGGTCCCTCTCCAGTAAGGCTCGCCTGACCAGGTGGGTCACCTGTACCATTGAACCTCTACAGGCTCTACTCAGATTTTTGTGCTAACTGATATGGATGTTTCAGAAACAATGCAACTATTAAATACTTGAAATTAAATACAAATCACTTGATATTGTGACCTCAGGTTTTCAACATAGCTACAGCAGCTGTAGAAAAAAAAATCATATTGATATCACAGTGTGAATACATAATGAGTGCTAAGCATCTTACCTAGGAGTGCATAAGTGCATGAATATGAAGCAGCTTATAGATCAGTCAATCTTTAAAATAGAAAACATACATACATACATACATACATACATACATACATACATACATACATACATACATACATACAAATCAAAACGATGATTAATCTTTTGGATACTCTCTTCTGCTCCTATCTACAGCAGTGTGAGTATGGGAGCGCTGTGCTTTGGTATGTCCATGGGGCTCGGGCCAAAACTGGACCTGGATGCAGCTGCAGCAGAGAACCAGGCCTTTATGACGACTCGAACTAATGAGAGGCAGGAGATGGTAGCCCTTAATGACCGTCTGGCAGCTTATATTGAAAAGGCAAGAGGCCCCTCACACTATACACAGACACACATTTGTATACTGGTGGTCATGTATACTGGAGATGTCTCACACATCCCAGATATATGTTTTTACTTGTTTGTTTTTCTTTTTTTTTCTTGACATCTTCTTCACCAAATATTCTTAAACCAAGCCAAATAACTAGTAAATGGAAGTGCAATACAATGACAGACAGTATTTTTGCACTTTCAACTTGTGATCATCAAGTTTGTCAGTTTGTTGCTTCCTTCCTGTAGGTGCGAACACTGGAATCGAAGAACATGGTGTTGGAGGCTGAGATTGAGGCCCTGAAGGGTCGCCATGTCAGACCATCAGGCCTCAGGCAGCTGTACGAATCTCAGTTGAGGGAACTCAACAGGGACACTGAGAAGATGAGAGTCCAGAGGGTGAGAGGCTGAACACAACATATGATCATGTCGTGATGAGTGTTGCCGTTCTTTTTGGTAGTCTTATTAGTGCCACCCTATTATCTGCTCCATTTTAAAAACAATTTGACCACTGTATCCCTTGTCTGTACAGGATATGTCTTTGGTAGCCAAGGAGGCAATGTTGGGCCAGTTGGACGCACTGAGGGCCAAATATGATGAAGCTGTGGAGGCCAGGAAAAAGACGGAGCACGACATTGAAGCACTACGTCCTGTAAGACAGTGGAAAGTGTAGCTTTTCCCAGCTTTGAGTTTAGTAAGAATTCAAAGCTGTAATGTAACAGATCATTCATGCACAGATTAACTTTTATTTCCCTCAACCATCCAAAACCTGATGTCTCAATCTTTCCCAGGATGTGGATAAAGCAACCTCAGTCCGGATTGCTCTGGAGAAGCAGCTGGAAAACCTGGAGAGTGAGCTGGCTTTCCTGCAGAGAGTTCACAAGGAGGTATGTGTGCCTGCTCACCCGTCTGTCCCTCCACAGCGTACCGTGTATATGAGTCAGTGTCTGGTGGCTGGTATGCCTTTAATTTTTATCATTGATGGTTTAATGGGCTGGTAATTATTGCTATGAAAGGTTATACTTAAATCAAGAGCTTGTTGATGGATTGAGTGAGTAAGACCATAAACATGGCAATTATCAGTGTGGTGTGAAGGGCTCATAAAGTTAGAGGGGAAAGCTGTAACTAACTTGTAGTATGGAGTGGTGCAATGAACCTTACTTAATGACATTGCTTCATACTTCTGAGTTATATTACTCAAGAAAAGTAATACAGACCAACCCCGGGTTGTTTTTGATCCACTGAAAGGAAATTGAGGAGCTCATGCAGCAGATCTACTCAGCAGCCACCAAGGTGGACCTGACGTTTGGCCTCCCAGACCTCTCCTCTGCTCTAAGACAGATTCAGTCTCAGTATGACAACATCGCCGCCAAAAACCTACAGGTAAGGTGCAACAGTGACGCTGCAGTATGTTCTGACTTTGAAGAGTTTGCCTTTCTTTGTATATTTGGTTACTTTCTATGCACAAAACATCATAAAACATCTAAAGGAACTGTAGAAAATACTGAGATGACGAAGCACATTAGTGTTTTGTATTCAGACACCATGCAAGTAGAAGCGTGTGCAGCTATACAGAGGCTTTGTAACTTATTAAAATTCTTTTCATGTTCGTTGTTCTGCAGGAAATGGACAGCTGGTACCGGACAAAGTTTCAGGACCTGAGTAACATCTCCTGCAAACATGTTCAGAGTGTTCGAAGTGTGAGAGAGGAAATCGCAGGCTATAAAAAGGATGTGAGTGTGGTTTTCTCTTCTTGTTTTTGGCTGGCACTACCACCTCTGTGTGTAAGCTTTGTGCACATGTGTGTGCTTAGATCCTCAACAAGGAACGTGAATTGGAGGCATTGAAGAGCAGGAATGAGTATTTGGAGGCTCAGATCCGTAATGCAGCCGTGAAATACAAAAAGGAGGAGGAGGACCTACAGGTATGATGTGGCATTGTGTTTATTTATATTCATACATTCTCATTATATATTTTCTTGCCATTCTGTCACTCGAAACACCTTAAAATAAAGCTATTCTGTTCTATCTATTGCAACAGGAGCGTATAGAAGCCATTAAACTGGATCTAAGGGTGACCAAGGAGAAGATAGCGCTGCTGCTGAGGGAATATCAGGAACTACTGAATGTCAAGATGGCTCTGGAGATTGAGATCACCACCTACAGGTGAACAAAAACACATTGGCATAGGTTAAGGTAAGGTGGTAAGGTCAACCCGAGCAGAGCAGATCACAATTCCATTTCCTCATATGTAAGAATTTAAAATAAGTATAAGATATAAAATGGAGGAATGTGTATGTATCTCTTTTTGTCAGTGTTTCTTTTTAACATCATTTCCCTCTGTTTATTCGGCAGGAAGCTGATTGAAGGAGAAAACAACCGTCTGAGCACCATGGTCCATAACCTGTCTCTGCATCTCACTTCCGCTGTTAGCATGTGTGCTGCCTCAGCCTCAGCCTCAGCCTCAGCCTCAGCCTCAGCCTCAGCCCCTGCAATGTCTTCAAAGCTGGATGACGCCCCCACTGACAGCAGCAGTAGTGGGGCAGAGAAGGCTCCAGGTGCTGGCACAGCCCGAGTGGAAGTCGCCTCATCAGACACTCAGACAGACGGCAGCTTAGAGGAACAGGCTACAGAGATGTCTGAGAGGAAGACGGTCCTGATCAGGTAGACGGGTCTGCTGCCTCACATCTGTGATAGTTCTCAGTCAAATCTCAAACAATACAGTTATCTTTCTCAATCTTTTTCTTCTACCTGTTGCCCCTTTTTTTTCCCAGAACAGTTAAGACACATGAAGACACTTATGAGAGCAACACACAGGAGTGCACCATCACCATATCTGGAGCAGCTGATGACACAGATGAAGAATAAACCATTTGTCTTTCCCAAATCTTACTATCTGACTATAAGCTGTACGCCATTTCATGTCATGTTAAGTCAGATTTTTTTTAATGCTTTGAAAACCTTCAAATTGTAAATTTAATTCAAGAGAAAACACAAGGTACTGCAGTCAGAGGAATTCCAACTTGTACTCCAACAGCATGTGCCCATTCAAGGGTTGTGTTCATCAAGACTTCACACTGTGTCCTGTCGCTCTGCTCTGCTCTGCCTGCTTCTAACTCTGTCAGCCTCTCTGCTCATTTAACCCTCCTGTGTGTCAGGGACGTGTGTTTGAAAGTAACAAAATAAACAGCAAGAAAGCATAGTTGTGTTTTTTTTTTTAAATATAGATAGATGAGCAGGAGTCGTTGGCATTATTTCACTCATTTACTGAACATTACACTCATTGCAAACTGTTCTCTGTTTTCCCATTGTTTATTTCGACTAGAGCAGCACAGTCTTTCCATAAAATATTCAAGGAAGTACAGCTGATACAATTCCCTCTGTAAACTTTTGATTTCAATGGTTTGAAAAGCAAAGAAATTACAGTGAATGTGCAGTGTTACATCATAACTAAACATTAACTGAAACCCTCTCTCTTAATTTGTTTGTGCAGACAACTGATGTTTTAATTATGGCATACGTATATACAGCTAAGCAAATTACATGGAAACCCATAATTAGGCACATGGCTGCCTGTTGGAGATACAATAACAAGTCGAGAGCAGTGTTATGTAAAATTGCATAAAATCCCTTCATTGTCTCCCCCAGTGTGTTCCATGTTCATAATGACAGAAAAATATCAAGAAATAGAAAAGTAGAGTAAAGTACCTAGTGCAATTCGGAGTACAAAATAATTTTCCCCCTTCCCCAAAAACAGACAATTTTGATAAATCAGAGTTGCATACAATGATGTACAAAAGATTTCATTCAAAAAGCACCAATTTAGACATGGATCAATATCATGTGAATGTGTTTCTAGTGCAATGGTTTGGGTTCATCTCCCACTCCCCCCGCGAGGCGATAAACTACAAGGCTGACCTCATGTGCAAGGGCATCAGCACTCTCCTAAAACACAAATACAGCATGGACAACAACAACATTATTCACAATACAATTGCATCCACTGTGGTTTTTACACAGTGACACCGGCATGAGAGTCAAGGACAGAAAAAAAAATCTCCCAAAAAGGAGGAGAATAAGAGTATGATTTCTCACCTGTGTGTCTGCCTCGGCGTAAACTCTCACCACGTCCTCGGTGCCGGAGGGTCTCACAAACGAGCGCGCCAGTTTGTGCTTCTTCACTAAACTGTCAATGGCCTCCTGCAGCCCTGCTGGGCTCACCGCCCGTCTCTCTGCATCAGTCGTGTCTATCACTCTGCGGTCTGAAACCTACAGAAAATACATCATACACAACCACAGTTATGTATAACTGAATACACACAATGTACTTGTGTGGAACTGGTACTGAGGGGTGCTGATCACACTACTCACAATGTTATGGTTAAGACATGTTGTTCAAATCAGACAAAACATGTCATTTTTCGCTCATAAAATTCTAATCTTGTAATTTGAAAACTGTTAACATTGGAAACCAATATCTAGCAGAAGTAATACTTCTGGATGTTAAGTATTGATACACAGATACAAAATCTTTACAACAAAAAAATAATATATGCATTCATTTTTAAACATTTTCAATAAAATTCAATGACTTTCAAGGCCTGAGATGTAGAAACACTGACACTTCTGAGAGGGGCAAAGGATTAACGATCAGAAATATGAGACATGATAATACATAAATTTGGGTGTACCTTGACTTTAAGCTGCCTGTTAGGCAGGTCAGTGTAGATAGCATCCCACTGCTGGACAGTCATACCCTTGATGGCTAATATAGCTTCAATCAGCAGCATGTCGGAAATGGCGTCACCTACAGTCTGTAGAAGATGAAAACACAAAAATCATCAACATTAATAATATTAGCAAAAAAGTTTTTCTACTGTTAAAAATAGTTCCAGTGTTGGAAAGATATACGCGATACATATCCCAGTCCAATATGTGTGTGTTGGTGTGTGTCTACCTGGTTTATGACGTTGATAGTGTTCTTCAGCAGGCGAGCTGCTCTCTTCCTCTCGTCGTTAGTGTTGGGGTCCTCAGTGAGCTGCTGGATCTTCTCTTCAGCCGCCTTACTGAACAATGTCTACAGTAAAAACAACACAAACACACTATGATGCAGACTTTAACCCTGATCATACACATATTTTAAGACTGTGTCTCTTTCTGATAAACTCACAGTTCCATGGCCATTGGCCTCAAAGTACACACCAACATCAAACTCCTGGGCTGCATGGTGAAGGTGCTTCACTCCAGTCTTAGTACACCTCACTATTACCTAAGGGACAGCAAAATATATAAGCACTAACTTCTCCACAAAAATATAGAAATAACGGGAAAATGCAATTTGTGTGTGTTTGCTCACCTTCATCGTGTCCTCCAGATAGTGTGTGGAGCTGCCGTTAGCATAAGCTGTTTGCACCACCGCTATCTTCAAGTCTAAACCAGCCTGTATGTCCACAAAGAAAAACTATTTATGAAGAGTTTGTGTGGGCGTGTCTGCTTATTTGTTGTAACATGTGTGTATATGAGTATGTACCTGTGTGATCAGCTCTTTAAGGAAAGTGACGATGACAGTAGCTATCTTGTCTCCATCCAGCAGGTGAAATTCTCCCTCGGAGTCAGTGTAGTAATAAACTATTCGGTCGGCGTCACCGTCAAAGGAGCAACAACGCTCCCCTGGGTTGATCTTAATACCTTTGCAGAGAAAGAAGGTGGAAAAGTGGTAAATTAAAAACCGCTTCTTTTCTTTTCTTTTTTTTTCCTTGGTTTCTTTTTTGCAATATAATTTCATCTAGCACCTCTCTAATATAAACTACAATTCTAGAGACACAGAAATAATCACGAGTGGTTTGTCTTGATGGATTTCTAGAAAATTCTGATCATTTTACATCAGTCACGATGCAGACATCAACAAAAGACTTTAATTTTAACAGCAAAATAGTGTGAGTTTAAGGCTAAAAATTTGTCATTATTGTGGTAATTTTCTGATTAACAGTCTCCATTTTGTGGTCAACCACTGCATCTATGATTTCACATGAAATAACAAAACAATACATCATATTGACTGTTTTGCTATCACTCTAGATAGATATCATGCTTAGTAAGAAGGGAAATAGTTGTCTCCAGTGGAGATAATCAAAAACATCTATTAATGTATTGCTCATTTTCATTTGGAGCACCTCATTTAAAAACTTTCTTGAGCGTTCTCTACACTTTTTAACCATATGAAGGACTGACAGACTTTAAAAGCCATGTTTTACCTGTGGGAGGTTTCTGCTGCACTTTGACAAAGTCGGCCCCACACTGGTGGTTGAGCTTTCCTTTGCTGCCGTCGTTGAAGAGAGAAATCTGCAGCTCACTCTTCAGATGACTCTCCATCTCAAGCACCTTCAGAGCCCCGATGCCGTTAGCACCATCCACACACAGGTGCTTCTGGTCGTCTGTACAGTTGGTAGCCTACCATGGTTGAAAAGACGGAGGGAAAGGAGAAAGGAGTGATTGCTTGTTGAGTGGACAAACCGAAAAAAAACACACACACACCCAACAGGATGTGCTCGAATGAAGTCACAAGAACACATGGCACACCCTGTTCTCTTACATTCTTGATGAGCTGGATGAAAGCCTGGCACAGTTTGCGGTAGTATCCTTCCACTGTGGCCTCTCCATATTTGCCCTGTGTGTTCTGACAGCAAACCATGTAGTGGAGCTGTGGGGTGGTCACCAAACCATAGTCTGACAGGACAGAGGGAGAGGATTAAAAGACAGAAAAGGTGTGAGAGGAGAATAAAAAAAAGTTGAGAGGTTAATGAAAACTAAGCAAAGAATCAAACAAATTCATATGAGAATATATGACTTTAATTAACTGTACCTTTACTGTGACCACCGAGAGCAGACACTCCATCCAATACTGCCTGTGACAGGCTGGCACTGCTGCCCCTGAGAATGAAGGACAAATATTTAATTTGAATGAGAAAGATTAATCCAAGCATTACAAGCAGGTTTTTTAGCTCCGCTGTGCCAACTCTGGGGAAAATAGGTAGGTTAAATAGCATATTATGGTCAGGACCTAATATTTCTAGTTGATTTAAAACTCAGTTCATGCAGAAGGAGCTCTCAAATGAACCAGCACAGGATTTTTAATGATTTTATGCTGGGATTTTTTTTAGTTTTGACTTAAAACTTTATATTGTAGATTTGAAAATATCTGCTGGCCCTGTCTCTATGTCGGCACAGTAAAGACTAATACACAACAGAATAGTTAACATCACGTACCTGGTATCTTTGCCCACAAAAACATTAGCCTCCTGGCTCATGTTTACAGCCTCCTTTTCTATAATGTCTTTCAGAACATTGAGTAGATCGTCCTGCTCTGCGTTAGCCAGCTGGGTGGCGTAGCCCTCCCACGACGGTGTCACCATCTCTCCCATGGGGTCAATGAGCTTCACCCCATTGTCTTCCTACACCAGTCCAAATATAAAGGCACAGGAAAGAGGGTGAAGGGGAGAGTTATGATTATGATGTGTTTATAGGATTGCTTAAACTAGGGATATCAAAAAAAAATAGCTAAAAGACACAGAGCAGTAGACAGGCTGAGGTGAAACCTGCCAATTTTCTAATAGCATCAAGGAAAGGAAACAGCATCATGTGGACAAATAAACTATAAACTTAAAAGGTGAATGCCACAATAAAAACTTTAATCCAAATTCTTATTACACGACCTCTGGGTTGTGTGATGCAGTGACCATGACTCCGATGGTGGCTTTGGTCTTTTTCGAGCGGAGCGTGGCCAGCAGTCCCATCCGAAACATGATGTGGTACAACAGTTTGGCGCTGGTCCTGAAGCCAGCGGTTCCATACTGCAAAACCAACCCTGCCGGTTTTGGGTGCTGACTGGACTGCTTTGATACTTCCTGGAACTGGGCCATTACTGAAACACATAATGATGACATGAAACACAGACCAGTCGATGGTGGAAGAAACACTCAGGTCTTTTACTTAAGTAAAAATAGCAATACCTTTGGGCTTAATCTTTCCAATGCTTGTTTTACAGGGTAAATACAATGTAAAACCTTGAACAAAACTTCTTTATCACTAAAGCTGTATTTATGTTTGATACAGCAAGCTTTTTTTCCACAGTAATGTAACCTGGTTCAAAGCATGTGAAATAAGCCTATAAATATCTCCAATAAAAATGTGCACAGAGCTAGCAGTGTTAGTCTTTTTGTCATTACAGTTCCTTAAAAATTGACGAAAACAAGTGGGTACTGCATCACACATATTGAATAAGAATATGATCATGCCTTGTCATTAGTGGCCACTGTACTTTGTCCCTTCAGTGGAAATGCAGATCACAAAGCACTGGAGGAACTTTTACGCCTGTGAAAGTTCTTGGACATCATCTCTTGGGAAATTAAAGTTCCTCGAGCTAATGGTGGAACCTTAAGAAAGACTTGCAGAGAGAGCTTCTTAAAAAATATCTTTTTTTCTGGGATAAGCATTCTGGGATTCTGGGATATATCTGGGAAACAAAATACACCATTTAGTTCTTTTAAGAAAACAGATCAATTAAAATATAACAAACATATGTTTTTCAGGCTAAAATGTGAAAACAACTTAATCATATCGACCTTTATATACGACGTCAAAGGAGAAGGGAGAGGGGCAAAGGTTACAGCAAACTACAGCAGCAACTATCGCCTGCTAAAAAGATAAGCTCAAATAACTGAATCATATGATCTGAATGACTGGACTGACTCAGTCAAACTTGCTGTGATAACGTAACGTGATGCTTTCAGCGATGAACGTAAAAGTAGTTAACGATGTAGTGACTTGGGTTCAACAAAATAAACCTAAGCCACAGTGAGGGGCTGCTACCGGGATATGTAGTTGACGTGTCGTCATGAGGTGGCTCCATTTGATAAATCAAAACATCCGACTTGTGCTTACGATTACGATGTATTTATTTACCGTGTAACAAAACAGCCTTTAATATTTACTCACATAGGTTGTACCAATAACTTGCATGAAAATAAACAAAAAGGCGTAAACATTGAACTCTAAACGGCGCCGGTCAAACACTGTGTGCTTCTCCCCGGTAAGCAGCACACCTGAGGAGTAATTGCCTCTTCTTCTACTTATACGTTTCATGTGTTGCCATTCAATACTCCACCTACTGTGGCAACCAGTGCATTACTTTAACACACACACACACACACACACAAATATACAAATGGCTCTAACACACGAAGTTGTTTTTTAAATTCACTTACTGTGTAGTGTGTCCTACTCATGGGAAGCTTCCTGCTTTTCGGTTCTTCCGCTACGTGGCAACGTGGCAATATCTTGCGTGTAAGTCACGTGACGCAAGTACGCTCAGCGTGCCTGTCAGTGAGCTTCTCTCCACCAGTGACTTTACTCTGATGCAGGGATCCATCCTGAACAACACAACCACGCCAAATGACCGTATCGCACTTAAACACAAATTCACTTTGTTAGTTATACACATGTTCTTAAATAAATAAATAAATGAAAATTTGGTCCCAAAACTGTTTTGAGTGCAAATAAGTCTGGACACATTTTTGTATTGTGGACTGTGGGCCGAAGCACAGTTCAGATCTAATGTCCCCGTAGATCATAACCACAAAGCATTTGGGCAATTAGAGGGTCTGCTTATCTAGAAAACGTTTCACCTTCATCATCTGTCATTCTTCACGCTGTGCGTGCAAACCTGTGTGATGCATAGCCTATATATGCAGCAGCGCATAAGCTACAGTCACGCTCCTATTTTAACCCTTTGGCGCATCGTGACGTGAGTTTCTGCACAGTGACCCCATGTCGACTCCCCTTTAAGAGACTTGGGCTGCGACGTGTGTCATCCAACCCTGTGCAATCACCCGTTGGGGGAGGAGATTCTAGATGGACACATAGATAGGCCAAATAAATAAACAAACGACAGGGGGGGAAGGAGATAAGGAAATTCCTGTCTGTCTTTTCCTCTTCCCGAGCATCTTGCGCTGCGCAGTGTTGGCCACACCACCGGGGAGCGGTGCGCATTTTCTGTCAGTCTGAAGAGAGGACCAGCGCATCTGAAGCGGCATTTCTGAGCCGAAACGGACAGATCAGAGAGGGAAGAAACACCGCAGTCTGACAACCGAGGGGACCATTGCGGGTCCCTCTCTTATTTTGAAAGCTTTTTTTAATGCACTCACGCGGGAGGAACAGCAGCCAAACCTGATGCCCGCTCCAAACAGGATATTTGATCGGCCTATGGAGAGTTGATTTAGGCCGACATTCCGTAATTTTCCAAAAACATTTTTGATGATTAGAGGAGCTTCGCTTGCGCAGCGTTTTCATTTGTCTATTTTCGAAATAATAGCAGGGATTGAGAAAATAGCCTTCACTGCCAGCTGAGTGTTACATAACCGAGTGGCTTTAGCTGTCCGAGGTGCTGAACTGAACGGCCAGAGCCTATAACGGGACAAGCCGTGGGGAATTCACAACCTTGCGTAAGTCTACTCATGTCACCACACATATTATCAACGTGACCGCACGATTTGATGCGAAAATAGCATTTATCTAGTGTTTTGGGCTAATCGTGTGTGTTTTCTTTCCGCCCACACAGAAGGTCACAGGCCTATCAGTCGGGGAAGAGGAAAGCACGGGATCCGCTCACTGAACCACTGGCTGGGTTTTATTCAGATTTCTTTTTTAAATCGTCCCGTGTTGAGATACATTTCCTGAGGTGGTCGATACAGCGGAGAGAAAATGTCGGGGCAAACGCTCACGGATCGCATTGCCGCTGCGCAATACCAGCTAACGGGATCAGATATGGCCCGGGCTGTCTGCAAAGCCACCACTCATGAAGTGATGGCGCCCAAGAAAAAGCACCTGGAGTGTGAGTGTAGTCCTTCATCTTCTTTCCTACTGCATGGGCTGGCTTTATAAGGGGGAGGCAAACAGGCCTCACACACCACACACCAATGCAGACACAGGCCACATGCCATCACAATCTTAAGAGCTAGTATGGCCAGTCACATATAAGTCCCTTTGCTTAAATGGGTGTGGTGCCATAGTGAATTGATGTAGCCATGGCGATGACCCCTCTGGTGACCCTGTGTGTCTGCCCCCAGCAAAGATGATGGAGACTCAGAGAGAGAGCGAAAGTGGGAGACAGAGAGGTAGCGAGAAAAGGTCATATTTTAAGGTAGACTGACAAGTCATCCCATTTAATATATTTCTGTGCTCCTGCAAAGTCATTTCCCTTAACTTCACATTTAAGATTCAATTGTAACGGAAGAGGTCTGCATAGGCTACTGAAGTAAGTTTGTGAATCATGTGCACACACATAATATTAGAATTAAAATTCCAAGTTATAATGCTGTCTAATCAACATGTAAAAAGACTTATTTAGGTTTCATGTTGTCTGTAGGTCAGTATTGGACCATAGAGTTACAGCTGAATAAAATTATCAAACCTCACAGCTTTATTGACACATCTACAGATGACTTATGATAAATCGTGATTAATCACCATCATCTACCACAAATACTGAGTCAGACCAAAGCAGTGGAATGGCATTGAGTACAAATGGTGATGGGTACTCTAGTTAGCCCTACATGTCCTCTGGTTTTATGTCTGTCTGTCTGTCTGTCTGTCTGTGTGTGGTCGCTGGGCAGGTCTGGTCCTGTGTCTTGGGCTGGGACCTTATATCTTGCGATCCGTTCACCTGCTGAATAATTTAATAATCAGCCAATGGCTGCCTTGCATTATTTACACAGCCAAAGGTGACAATGCTAATGCCAGAATGCGCCGGAGACCATTACTTCCCCTTTTTCTACTATTCTTTTGTGTTTTTGTTTTCTGTGTCTTTAACTTTGGACAGCACAGACTTGGACTCGTGTAGCTGCTGAGCAAACATTCATTGGTACAAGTCATGACCTAGGAAAGACCCCTTGTTTCCACAAACTATGCTTGAAAGGATTCCTATATGCATTAATGCCAAACTAGTTCATCAAGATATACAGCACATATGGACATGTTGTCTTCCTAAAGGTTTTTAGTCTTTGAGGTTATGCTGTATCCATTTCTAGGGCAATTCAACAAGCTCCCTGTATGTAGGCCACTGTGCTTCTCTTGCACGTGTATCTTGGCTGGAGGAAATTCCTAACCTCAAAAAACTGAAAAACATTTCCACTGAGACCAAAAAGAGTATATTGGAAACAGACATAACACACTCAAATAATAATAAATTAGTAAGCGTTCATACAGTTGGGCTGAAAATAGTAACAAATAGACTCTACGTCTCTAAGTAACTGCAATTTATTCACTAAAAAGTGCAAGTAAAGGCCACCTACATGATAAGCCTTTCAGGAGGTTTGATTTATTTGACACTTGATATATATGTACCGTATATAACCTGTCATATATATTTCTTTATCATACTGACCACAGTCTCTGACCCTTGGGGTGGATGGATGTGGGTGTGTGTTGGCGGTGGTGCAGTGCAGTTGCCATGGCAACAGATTGAGAGTGCCAGGGGATGGCACTGTAATGACAGAGGGAGATTGTGAGAAGGAAGAGGGCAAATGACAGGCCTGTCTGCTCATGCTGCCTGGAGTGCAGAGACAATCAAAATGAATGTAGAGTTCTTTAACCAAACCAAAACACTGAATGATCGTGTTGTTAAATGTATTTGTACTTGTGCATTACTAAATTTCGTGTGAATTTTTAGGAGGACAAATTATTTTTTATCGCATGTCGACATGTGATGCCTGTGTTTGATTTCTTGTCAAATGAGGCCCACAGTGCAATCAGGGAATAAAACCCAGGTGTCAGAGATGGGTATTTCTTGCCATTGGCTGTAAAACACTAAACACATTGAATTTCATATTCCAATTTATTTAGTCATGTATTTAATGAAATGAATGCTGGAGGGCATGTGTTACAAATGTGAAGAGAACATTTGCTTCACAAGGTCAACTGAAAGTGTACAGTTTGCTCAACACCAAAGGCAGTAGGTTCAAATTCATCTGAGGTCATGTTGTAAATATACTGGATGTAATGGGTGCAAATAATGTATCCAGTATACTACTTTGTGTCTTTGACTCACTGTAGCAGAAGCCAGCACAGATAGCATCTCTAGATGTCAAGTGGAAATTAAACTAATTACTCGGCTGTAGTCTTTAAAAGTATTGTTTAACAAACACTTATTTGCTTTCCTGCTGAGAGTTAGATGAGAAGACTGATACCACTCTCATATCTGCACCCAAAATTTAAGGTTATACAGTTAGCAGCTGGTTAGCTTAGCTTAGCATAAAGCCTAGCCTAGTTCTTTCCAAAAGTAACAAAATCTGCCTACTAGCACAGAAAAAGCTCAGTATTTAACATGCTATATCCTGTTTGTATAATCTGCACAAAAAGCCGAAGTGTAAAAATGAAATCTTGCTGTTTCACAAAGTGTTATGTGCCAGACTGTTTCTTTGCCGGGAGTGAGTTTAGTGAGCTTTGGAGTTGCTGGCAGGCTGATTGTGTTTCCTTCAGACACAGCCAGGCTAGCTATTTCCCTGTGTTTCCAGTCTTTGTGCTAAGCTAAGATAAGCTAAGCTAATGATCTGATAGCTGTAGCCTTATATTTAGCATACGGAAATGAGAGTGGTATCAATCTTCTCATCTATGTATAACCATTTATTTAAGATACCTCATCTGTTCTGCTTAGTGATCGAGTCTCCCCCAGCAAATTCTGAGTGTAAAGTTTATATGGTGGGCTATATTAGCGCCCAAAACAATTCCAACAATGTAGTATTGTGCTTAAAGTTCCACAGTAAAATTTGTCACACTTTATAAATGTGAACATTAACACCTGCATAAGTTTTTGAAATCTAATTTTACTGCTCACAATTGAGTATGTCTGTCTTTTTGAGTGTCTATTATACAGGAAGTAGTGAATGAGGAGTGATTTTGGACACAGCTAAGGTGTAAATTGGTGTGAGACAACCTCAGAAGCTCTGTCAAGATGACACTAGTTGATAGCTGACAGGAGTTAGACCATGTGGACGAATCTACACATTAACACCATGACAACGTGTGTGTCCTGTCTAAGTTTATCTGGAATATTCTGGCTAACGCTAGAGTGACTTGTTGTGTAACTATAAATCACAGTTATAGCAGATAGACTCAGACACTGACTAGAAAAAGACACAGTTAACACAGACACAGTCACACACAAACATACACTCGCACAGTATGAGGCCTCACAGTTCATTCTTAGATCTCTCCTGTAGGCTGTGGATTACCGTAAGAGTCTTTATATAGCTCAGCCAATCCTCATTAGACACACACATACGCATTGCTTGTACATGATTGTGTGTATGTTTCAGGTAATGATAGCACAACTAGATTAAAGCCTATGATATGGCCCATATGGCAACATATTAAACACCGGTAAGCAGATATTATGAAATATCTACATTCACAGTTTATTAGTGGGTATTATGAGGTATACATCTGAGGAAATAGCTGTGGATAACACTGTTCATGACACTAGTATGGATATTAACTTAGTAGCTATGCCAGTGACATGATAATGTTATATAATATAATTATTATATATATTATATATTATAATAATTTCAGCCATTGTTGACCATGTCTCTGTGTGTGTGTGTGTGTCATTAGAAAAGGCTACAGGGGAGTGTAACCTTCAGCCCTTTCACAGAGAAGTGAGGTTAAAAGACAGGAAAAAGAGACTGAAATCAAAGATAGTGGATGGAAATAATCAGATACTTGAAAGAGAGAAAATTAAACTTCAGAATAAAAACTCAAATGTGTTGTAGAACAGATAATTTAATATCTATAGGAGCCACTGTAGGACATCAGATGAATGTTACTGCAGCCATCATTAAACATAGAAGCAACAGACAGGGCTGTTGCTGTGCGGCTGTTACCATCTGGTCAAACTGTACAGATGGATTGCAGCAAAATTAGCTCCACAAAGATCAGACGGAGATCAAGTCTATTACTCTATTCATTTAAAACCAGATAAAAGACATTCACAAATTTCAAAAAATTTTAATTAATTTGCCACTCATCCTCATTTTGATAATTCAAAGTGATAATGTGTATTCCATTTTTAAGATAATTAAATAAACCTGAATCATTATACTCAACAGCACTGGTGACAAAAAAGCAAAAAAACAGAGATGGTGTGAAACAGGTGGTGGGAAAACAGGTGTGTATGTAGGTATACTGTACGGGGGATGGGCAGTGAGGCAGACACCACAGAAAGACTAGAACCGGTGATTAGTAATAATCTGTTTACAACCCCCCAACCACCCTAGCCTTCCCAGCTTGTCACCCTTTTATGACCTTGAACAGCTCTGACTCTCATACCTCTTCATTTCTTACACACTCATGTCAACATAACTGATTCTGAGCAGACTCACTGCCGTTCTCCTGAGTGTCTGCTCTCTCTCTCTCTTGCTCATCACGTAGCTGTTCTGGTCTAGAGTTTGGTATCTACCTAGAGCAAGGCCTGTTCAATATAACGGCCTTCCTCTCCTTCCATTATTAGAGGTGCCTGCCAATATTTGCTGCATTCCTCTCTGGCGCTGTATGGATACACTCAGTCCTGTCCTTGCTCTTTAGTCATCAATGTCAGGCTCGGAAATGAAATTGTTATCCTCTTAGTATTTAACCACCACGGTGCCCATAGCAAATGAACACCTGTTCTTGTATATGTATATTTATATCATGTAAGGCAAACATGTTTTTCTAATGCATATGGCATTGTTAGCAAATATCCTGCAATACTTGATTTAAAAATGCCATCCATCTTCTCTCAAAGCATTGCCTTTCTTTGCTTGATCAAATCCTCTTGCTCTCGCTTCATATTTGGATTTCTGTTTCTGTGGCCATCTGTCTGCCTGACTCTCTCTCTCTCTCTCTCTCCCTCTCTCTCTTCAGAGAAACAGCACCAATAGACACTCCCACATCAGACAAAGACTGAATAAAATGTTAGATATATTAATATTTTAATTGAAAAAAGCAACAAACATTAATGATATAAAGCTGCGAGAGTGCATCAGCTAATCGGGGACCTGTTTAATAAGCCTATTTTGAGCACTGCTTACACACAGATTTCAAATGGCAACAGTGTCACATTTCATTAATCATTTTGATTTGGAGATTTGGTGAAATGGACTCCATGTAGACAAAGTGGCTCATATAACTGTAGTTTAGAGCTGACACAGAAAGTAAATCATTCAATAGTTATCAATTGATATTTTGTTGTATGTCATTTTTCAGGCAAAAATCTCATACATTCGTTGAGTTGAGTTTTGGTATTTTTGTCAGACATTTTTCACTATCTTTAATTATTAAAAATCTATTTGCTGTTCAAATTTTCCCTAAGTAGCCGTTACCAGTGACACAGCAATTGACACATGGAAGGAGAAAAGTAAATTTTTTTTATACTTTCCAGCAGGAAGAGAGTTCAGGAAATAATAAACATATAAGAAAATATACTTGAAATATACTGAGAAATTATCTGTCACACTTTCCTGAAACTTACATCTCTGGGCAATTCCTCAATACAGCTGTGGTTCAGTGTTTGATTTGCAGTCTACACATTTTTCTCTATAATTAATGTCTAAGCAATGTGAGATAGAAGGAGTTATACATATTCACATCCCACCACACCTGCACAGCTTGTATTCGACTTCATGCAACGGTCTGGACACTTCTGAACTGGCAGCCAGGGCAGGGGAGATGACAAGGCATTATTCTCTCTCTGCATTGTCAGCGTGTGTGTGTCTGCATATGTGTGTGTGTGGGCTTGTGCACCAAATTCATTTTGTATTTGCATCAGGTCTCCTTCCTGGATTAATATTCTGATGGGTTTCTCCAGCAGCTCTGAACATTTAGCTTCCACACTTAATCAAAGTTTAATCAGAGCAATTGAAATCATCTAGGTGTTTGTCTAAGGATCCTAACCGGTCTGACTTTCCTCTTACATACCAAACTTATATGAAACTTCCCGAAATGCAAACCTCTGCATGCCATCAGATTTCAAGGGACAGTTTTATCTAACCGTTGTGTGACTGTGCTCTTTGCAGACCTGGTGTCAGCCACCAACACCACCAACGTGAACATCCCTCAGATGGCTGACACGCTGTTTGAGCGAGCCACCAATGCCAGCTGGGTGGTCGTCTTCAAGGCCCTCGTCACCACTCATCACATGTGTGTCCACGGCAATGAGGTGAGCGAGAGCAAATATAGTTCAAGCATGACTCTGTTCCACTTTTATTCAGCAGTACTGGATAAATACGAAAGCCACATTTAATCTGTTACTGTTTCTTTTAGAGTAAGTAAAGGCCCTGACTATGAGTGGATTTGGTAAATAATAAATGTGTTGGTAATTAACATGTGAGGTTACCACTTTGGAGAGCTGAAATTGGTCCTCTGAGTGTAGTAAAGGTTGTGAACGGTGCTGATAGAGCTGATAGACAGATGAATAGGAGGTGTGACCACAAACAAATAAAAGGAGTCCTCTGGGTCCAGTGTACAAGCAGCCGTCCATGGAATCAGATATATAACAGCTGATATATGATACTGCAGAATGAAACATCAGCAAAACAAGTCTTTGTTACAGATCGTAAAGTGTTTGTTCTGTTGTTGGGCTCTGCTTAATATCTTTCCTTCGCTGCATTTGACAGACACAGGAGTGTTTACTGTGTTTTCTGTCTCTTTCTCAGAGGTTCATTCAGTACTTGGCTTCCAGGACCTCCCTGTTCAACCTCAGCAACTTTATCGACAAAACCGGCTCTCACGGTAAGAACACACAAGTCTGATCATTTGGTGTGTGCAGTCTTCATTTTGTATGTGTGTGTGTGTGTGTGTGTGTGTGTGTGTGTGTGTGTGTGTGTGTGTGTGTGTGTGTGTACGTAATGTATGTGCGTAGATCATCTGTTCTCCAGATGAGAACACTGGCACATAACTCAACTTTCTCATTATCTGGGAATGCACAAAGAAACAGGAAGAGATAGCTACAAAGAGAGACATCTGGCTAATAGAAGAAATGACACAAATTACAGGAAGGCCACACATGTAATTGTATATACAGCTATATACACACTCTCATACATCATTCTCTCTCTAATGTCTAATGCCATATATAAAATGAAGCTCTCATATTCAATCATTATATTACTATGATTAAAACAAAAGCAGCAGGTACAGAAAAAAAATTAAAAATGAATGTATGACCTTATTCCAGATGTACTAAAATAAAACTAATTTAAAGGTGTAGCCAAAGAAAACACAGTTTTTCTGAGGGATTTTAAAATGTACAGATAAATGAATCTTAAATGTCAGATTTGCCATATAATTGGGAGTCCATGTTTATGCTTTTCTACCTGTTTTTCTTTTATGCTCACCGTTATTTCATTGACTTTGAGCTAAAACAGAATGCTAATTTTCGAAGGAGCAGTTTAAACAGACTTTTGCCTCAAGCTTCTGTCCCACACTTCCAAAATTTCTTGTTTCTGCAAGAAGACACTGTTCACAGCAGTTTACACTCCTACAAAGTGCTCATGGGCAAATTATTTTCATAAAAAATGAAACTTGGTCAGCAATACATCTCTCTCAGAATGAACTTCTAGAAACCAGGGTTGTCATGATCGAAGGAAATGCTTAGAATATGCATCACATAATTAGCTAAAAATGCAAATGAGATGGTGTTTATAGTACAAGCACATGTAATCAAAACAGATCCTAGTTTTTCAATCAATGGTTCAAGTAGTATTTGCACTAAAGGTGGTATTTTATGAATATGCTATCCACCCAGATTTTAGTTTTTTTCTTTTAAAATCTGATTCACATAATTTTTTCAATTGGTATTTGAAATAATAATTTAAAAAAAAGCTCTGCATGTTTTTGTTGAGCACTCTCTGACATAAACTGAATTCTGTGTAGGCTACGACATGTCTACATTCATCAGACGGTATGGACGGTACCTGAATGAGAAAGCTTTCGCCTACCGTCAGATGGCTTTTGACTTCACCAGAGTCAAGAAGGGGTATGTTGACCATGGTTATCATAGTCTGTGCTGAAAGGCTTTATTGGCTCATCAGTGAGCCCTTGTCATTCACCAGTTCACCTCCTTGGTCGAGGGCAGTTTTTCACTTATTGTCCCTTATCTTGTGCTATGTCCTCCTATATGGCTTGTCTTATCCCTGTGGAGCATCTGATCTTCTGTCCTGTTGTTTCCCCTCAGTGCTGAGGGCGTGATGAGGACCATGACCACTGAGAAGCTGTTGAAAGGCATGCCTGTTCTGCAGACTCAGATTGACACACTCTTGGAGTTCGACGTGAGTCCGACTTTGCTTAATTTCTACTCTTATTTTAATTCAATTGAGTTTTTACAGACGTCTGAAAGGCCTTCTCGTCTCTGTCCGTGATCCTCTCAGGTCCATCCCAAGGAGCTGAACAATGGGATCATCAATGCTGCATTTCTGCTTCTCTTCAAGGACCTTGTCAAACTCTTCGCATCCTACAATGACGGCATCATCAACCTATTAGGTCAGTAGTCCACGAGTACCTCTCGCTTGGCAACTCAAAGATCACAGTGAATCTGAACCTGCAAACCTCTTGTTTTCCACACATAGAGAAATACTTCAAGATGAAGAAGAGTGACTGTAAGGAGGCCCTGGAGATCTACAAGAGGTTCCTGACCAGGGTGACAAAGATTGGGGAATTCATGAAGCTGGCTGAGGTAGGACAGCCCTTAACATTACATTAATGACATATCATGACGAACCAGTGTGGTAATGTGTGATTCTGAACTGTTTTTCAATCAACAGACAGTTGGAGTTGACAAAAATGACATTCCTGACATCAACTATGTAAGTAAACACATCTCATGGCTCCCATATCTTTTTTATTAGTTCAGTGGAAGGACTGGGACCATGAATATGATGCACATGAATGCCACCCACCCCTCCTCTCTCTCTCTCTCTCTCACATACACACACACATGCAAGACACAGAAGCACTCATGTCTCACCCACCACCATCTCCCCAACCCAGTGTCTCCACCCGGGGGTAGTGGTGGATCTAGCAGACTCAGACGACGAAGACTGTCCTTTTAAACCTCTGGAGGACCCGGTAACCACAGAAACACAGGGCGCCCTGGCTGAGTGCCTGTTTGCAGGATGGAGTGTCAGCATGTTGATCCTAATTTAATTTGACAAACACACAAATCTCACTTGTGTGAGTGTGTTTCTACATGCATGTGGGTATTGCAGTGAGATTTTCCAAAGCCCTGCCAATCTCAACGCTTTAACGCTTTTTCTTTTTTTTTCTCTGGAAATTGAAACGTAAACGTGGACTAAGAATGCAACTTGGGAGGCGTTTGGAAAGGATAAATTATTGATTTCTCCAGTTTTTGATTGTTTTTGTCAGGCTCCCAGCAGTATCCTGGAGTCGCTGGAAACACACATGAACGGTCTTGAGGATACAAAGGGTGGAAAGAAGGGGTAAGAAAGTGTTAAATAACATTTTTTATATTTCAGTTTAAGAACTTCTTACTCTCAGTACGACACCCAGTATGAAGCCAGAACTAAAGAATTAGGATCACATAACAACAAAAGTTAATGAGGCTGACATGAGAGAAAGAGAGTTGTTGAACACAGGCCTATATAGGTGCCATATTTCTCTCATTTCCGTTAACCCTTCCTCTCTTTTATCCCCCTTTATGTTCATTTGGAATCACCAGTGAAGGGTGAGCATATACTTTATGTTTTGTTTGGAGTTTACTTACTTTTTAGAAAACTGTGCGGATGTATTTACTGCCGTTTCCCCCTCGCAGGTAAACTAACACATTATTCACATGTGAATCACAGTATGAAGGTCATGTGAATAGAAACATTATGCACATTATACTCCACAGCTACTGTAACAAGGTTCACATGTGGCAATGTGTGTATTGGTGTGATCACATGTGTGAACTCTGAAAGAGACACATGTGTTGATAAACAGTAAGTCACCACATGTGTATTAACGCATCCTGACATGCAATGTGAATCAGTATATGAAGGGTTTTGTTCCAAAGTTAAAATGATTAGTAGCACAAAGTGAAAATATCAGAGTATCAGTAACAATTGGCTGCTTCAGATGATTTCTGTCTTTTTTTTTTAATATTGTGTGTGCATTGTACATGCAATATATCACTTTGGATATCAACTCTTCATATGATCACATATGATACAATCTGTCTTTCATATATGTCTGACTTCTTGAGTTTAGATGTTTAGACATCTGAAAATAGTTCCATCAAATAGTTCCCAGTCTTTACAACACAGATCGCTCCTTTTCAAGCAAAAGTCCTTACGATTCCTTCTCCTCTCTCACTCTTTCAGGTCTCCAACAAAGGTAAGATGCACATTTGATATAGTCTTTTTTTTGTTGTTGTTCCAGTCTGGCACACCACTTAAACAGGGCTTCCCTTTCTGTCTTGCAGGGATCTCCGACAAACAATGTGTCTCCAACATCGACTCCAGCCAAATCTTCTAACGCTGTTCCCACACTGCAGCCTCCTCCCGGGGAGAGTGCTGCTGCTGCCCCGGCTGCTCCTGAACCTGCCGAAGAGTAAGCGATTGTTTCTCTCATGCCTTTCTGTGAACTCAAGTATTTGGAGTGCCTGACATCATTGCATCAAATATTTGGTTGTGGTCCTTTCATTTTGTAGCAGTAGATAATGTATTTGGATCATTTATTTGGTCAGACCACCACTTTGATCTAGACTGAAATATCTCAACAACTATTCAATGCATTGCCATGAAAATGTATACACATATTCGTGGTCCCCAGAGGATGAATTTTACTGACTTTGGTGATCCCCTGACTTTTTCTCTTGTGCCATAGGGTTGATCTTTTTGGTTATAAGTGAAATATGTTGACAAGTATTTGACTGATTTCCCTGAAATTTGCGAAAGATATTCCCTAGAAGATAAATTCTAATAACTTAACTAATAACTAATACTAACAACTGGCAATCCCTTAACTTTTCCAGTTGCACCATCATCAGGTCAAATACTTTGTCCAATACAAAATACTTGTGAAGCTAATGATGAATCAAGCTGAAACTGGGTGCTTAGAACAACAGAGAGTAAAAGCATTACATCCTGCAAAAGTGAACGTTCTCTCTCTCTCTCTCTCTCTCTCTCTCTCACTATGTTTCTGCCCAATTCTGCAGTTCCTTGTTGGATCTGGATCCACTGTCCTCCTCGGGTCCTTCAGCACCATCAGCTGCCCCTACATCTTGGGGAGGTAAGTCTAACTCCTTCAAATCAAATCAGCAAGTGGTTCATCTGAAAGAATGCACATTCACTATCAGCATTTCAGGTACATTGATCCACTGTGAACGCAATACATTTTTTATTTTCTAATTGGTTTGTTTGTAGGAAATTTGATAGCTGAGTTTGTCATTTGAAATTCTTACATTTATATTGATTGTTGAACTAATACATATGAATGACGTTGAATAAAACATGTATTTTCCCTGTCCACATGTCTGCTTCCACAGACCTTCTTGGATCAGGTGAGTGTTACTCTTTTCTTCACTTCACCTCCAGCCTCTAGACTAGACTAGTGTAAGCCTTGAATCATCCTCTGGGTTACCTCAATGTAACTGATGTTCATTTTCAACAAACTCTGATCTGTAATTGAGGTGACCTGGAAACAACATCAATGTCTTATTCCTAACTGAGCTTTCAGATAAACTTTAATGTATCAGTGTCACATGGTTACCTCCCTGTTTGTCTCCTCAAGCTGTTTTCTTTAGGCTGAGTAGTCTCTTTGTTTCTCTCTACCTTCCTTCTCCTCCCTCCCTCCACATACTCCATTGTCTGTTTTTGGTTTTCAATGGGGGCTATTTTGGTTGGTTGTTTTTTATTTGCTGATTATGACCGGATGGTGTTGGATAATTTTGCAACTTTGATTTGGTTAAAATTTGGATTTTGCTTTGGTCGGTCAATTCCAAATTATGTTAATTGGGTTTGATTTGAATTGGACCTTGGTTTTGGCTTTTGTTCACTGTCTTTTTGAACGGTGACTCAACTGGTTATTTTTTATTGCTTTTTGGGGGTTTATTTTGGTGACTTACTTTGGGGATTTCAAACACCCCGTTGGTACTCGCAGAAATGGGCGATTCCTTGCTTTCTGAACCCACCCTCACGGCAGAACCCGCCCCCTCCCCTGCAGCAGCAACGCCCACTCCTGCAGCGGCAGAACCTGGAGTCTCTCTAGCTCCTCCCACTAGCACAGCAGCCGCCACCTCCCCTGGTGCCGCCAATATGGATCTGTTGGGAGGTCAGTGAGCTTCCAGAAAATTCTCTACGAAAGAATCACTCTGGGAAGCTCAACCCTAAAACCATCACACAATATGATAACACAGACATGCATGTCCAAACACCAACAGTATGTAGACAGAACTTTGCTGATTTATAAATGATATTGTCTGTATCTTGCAAGCAAAGTTGCATCATCAAAAAGAAATCTTACCAATGCATTGATGCACACCTCCATCATTTTCAGCTGCCTCAAAATTATGGAGTCCCAACGTATTCAATATGAAATGAACAAATAAGTTATTATGAAATAATATGAATAAGTTGTGTAAAAGAAATACATGAATGAATGAAAATGATTGAATTGTAAAATAATTTCAAAAACTCAAATATGCAACTCAACACATTATTTCCCGGCCAGCCAGACCATTTGCTGCATGTCATTCCCCTACTCTCTTTCCCCAAGTTTCCTGTTTGTCTTCACTATCCCTCTGAAATAAAGGAATAAAAATTCCCAATGAATAAATAAATAATAAAAGTGTTATTTGGAAAAATGTCAATATAGAATAAGTTAAATGTTAAACTAAATGAACTCCAGTAAAAATTTAACTCTTAAAGTAAGAAGATAAATTTCACAATAAAGAGCTGAGTTTAATAATTTCTTCACAAATTATTGGGTTATTTATAAGTTTTATACAATTAATGTATGCGATCACTTACTTATTTAATAATGACAACCTTGGGGTTGTCAAAATAAAGTTGGGTTGTCTATAAGTTTTATACAATTTATTCATGTGATTATTTATTTCATGATGAATTATTTATTTAATATTGACAATATTGGGGCTCCATACAAAATACTGTAGATCCAGCAGGATGATAATATACAACAAATAACACATTATGTAATTTTCTCTCTTACACACACACACACACACACACACACACACACACACACACAAACACATATATGTATGTATATATAGAGAGACACAATATTCCTCTAAAAATACTTAACACAATCACGGGCATTTCTGTAAAATGTAATTATGTACAGCCACGCACTCATGTTCGGCTTGCACATAAACATACTGCAACACCCATTCTCCACGTGCGTCTTGTTTGATAGGCAGACATGCTTTTCTTTGACCTCAGTGAAAAGCAATTCTATCAAACCCTGTCACATGGCTACAGCTACACATGGCAGCTGTAACACTTGTAGATTTCAGTTTTATTCTGCTCATTGTGCAGTAGATTAATCCTTGCTGTAATGCCTCCTGTCTGTATTCCCATTTGTCTATTCACCTGTCAGTCATTAATGTCACATATCAATGCTGTATGCTACTGTTTCTTAGAGTTCAATACTGAATGTAACAAGCACTGATTACTTTCTGTTGTCTACTTAAATCCTGCAACCTTACCTTTATTTTCCTGATGTTCAGTTTTCATCTTTATTTCTTTATCTGTCTCTGTCTCTCTGGGCGTCTCTCTTTGCTGGGGTTTGTGTGAACCTCAGATGCCTTTGCAACACCTGTCCCTGCCACTGAGGCCTCTGCAGCAGCAGCTGAAGGTGGGGCTGCCGCTACGCCTGCCCCAGCCGCCACCGCTGGAGCTGGTGGGTGACTGAGTCTGTCTGTGTGTATGAGTGAGTATGTGTTTGAGTCAGTGGTGGAAAGTAACTAAGTACATGTGTAATTGTAATTACACTATTTCCACGTAATCTACATGGATCATGAACTGGTGAGGATGGTTTTTGCCTGAGATATGCAGCTTTAGCCTCAATCTTTTAGCATGATACCTTGTATGTAGCCATCAAGTGCACATCTAAGACTCAAAAAATCTAAAAATCCAACTGGAAATGGAGGTTTCAGCTCCTTGACCTAACGTTAGATTATAACCTAGTTAGCTAGCTGCAGCAGAAGTGCTGTGCAAAAACAGAAAGCTTTGTTTTTAGGCTACTTTATACTTATGCTCCACCACTGGTTTGAGTGTCATGACCATGAACGAACAGTTTGTGTAAGTGAGAATGCTTGTGTGTGTGTGTGTGTGTGTGTGTGTGAGAGAATGTTTGTGTGAGTGAGTGTGTGTGTGTGTGTGTGTGTGTGTGTGTGTGTGTGTGTGTGTGTGTGTGTGTGTGTGTGTGTGTGTGTGTGTGTGTGTGTGTGTGTGTTTGCTTTTATTGTTGGTCTCAAGTTTTAATCAGGTTTCATCTCAGGGCTTTGTGTAGGGACAGTAGGCGTACAGATTCACTATTCATTACTGCTGGTGTCTGGACAGTGCTATTGTTGTTGCCATGGTGACTGAGGACAATGATCGTACTTGTTTCTTATCTTTTGGCTTCAGAAGATTTGTGCTTTGTCTGTCATGGAGAAGGTTGCCTGTGGCAATTGTTGGTTTTAGTTGTAGTTAAGCTGCGGTTTGTTCCTTAGGATTATATACAGCGAAGGACTCGCTTCAGTTCTTTGTCACTCTTTTTCATCTAAATGCTGTTTTTAGCTGTAACTGTTTCAACTGGCAGCAGGAGTGTGTTGGAGCTCTGCACATTTTCACCTCCCATCACTCCTCCCATGTGCTTTTCCATTTCTCTCTCCTCAGCTTTCATGATTTTAGCAGTATTTTCATCACCACCACATTGAACACACTGTGTGTCTGCCCTGTTTTGTATTAAACTAATTGTCTAACATTCCATCTTCCTCTCCATGTGTTACATCTCCACCTCACCCTCTCCACCCCACCTCTTCTCGAAAGATCCCTTCGCTCCCTCAGATGGTAACATCAGCGCAGCGTCTTCAGGTGTAGACCTCTTCGGCCTGATGACACTGGAGAATAATAACCCCGGTAGTTCACTGGATGCCTGTTTTAGCTCTGTGGTGCCCCAGCCCTCCCCCTCCCCTTCCCCTTCACCGCTCTTCACCTCCACATCCAGCACCATCACCACCATTGCAACCATTTCAGCTCCCATAGCCCCCAGCGCCGCCAACCCAACGACTGACCTTTTCAGCGGTAAATGTTAGAGATTTGTGTGTTTCAATACTAATCTCGCTGTCTTGTCATATTGACTGGCATCTTCCTGGCTCTCTAGTCTGCTTGCCATCCTCTCCGCTCTTCTCTCATCACCCCTCTTTTGTTCTTCTTTATTGATTTCATCAGGCTAATGTGCACATATTGAAGGCCTCTTTCACTTCAGCGTGGCTGCTGTGTGTGAGCATCATCACCATTTTAAACTGTTTGAGAGTTTTAATATTCCTGTCTCTGGGTGCGCATGTGTTTGTAGATCTCTTTGATTCCATGCCAGACAAAAGCTTCACCAAAGCAGACCCCGCTCCCAGTGTTGACTTGTTTACAGCAGGTATACCCTACTGCACCCAGTCTGCCATCTCACGTGTGCTCCTAACTCTCATATCCTGTCTTGCCGTGTCTGTTTTTTTCAGCTTTGTCCTTGGCTTTGATCAGGGAAGGAAAAAAAAGGAAATGAGATTGCTCCCTCATGGGTCAGCTAAAAGCTATTGAGCTGTCTGAAACGTTTACTAAATCACTATTACCCCCTCTGCCATTCCAGCATGTACTGCGTGCACTGCATTTGCAGTTGATAAATGTGCATTATAATGAATCACAGTCAATAGATCGTGTGTATTTGTGTGTATTCGTGTGAGTGTGCTGGGGCTCTAAACACCATCTCCACCTTGCCCTCCCCAGCGGATGTATTCATCTCCCCTGCCCCCACCCTCTCCGCCACAACCCCATCCAAAAGTGACACAGGAGCCTTCATGAGCCTGTTTGGCGGTGGGTGACTCACATGACTGCCTGCTCTCCCTCTGTCTCCCCTGTTCATGAACACATCACCAAGGAAGAGGAGGACAAAAAATGAAACTATTGATATTGATATTGATATCAGTACTGTCAGGATTTTCCTCTACAGTCACAACGGCAGAGTTTTTTGCTGCATATCGTACTTTTCCTATATATTAGCTCCATCATATTGTGTTCCCAATTAGAAATCATAGATTGCCTTCTTTGTGGGTAGATCATGGAAGTATTACAAGCAGATACCTGAAGCTTGGTCATGTTTAATAGTCAAATTATTTATGAGCCACAAGTAATGACTTTGGCTCAGGAGTTTTGTGTTTACTTTGTTTTTTAGTTCTTTATATCTTGCCTTAAAGTGTTTATTCAAGGTTAGAGTCGTTAGACATGTGTCCACTGAAAATGAACTGGTATGAACACGTGTGTTTTGAAAATGCATGGGGATGCTTTTCTGTGACTGCTGAAAGAGTATGACATTATGATAAGACGTGTGTATGTGTTTATGTGTGTGTGTGTAAATTCCAAAAGCAATGTTTACCAGTTTTGTTAAAAATGAATGTGATTCTATATTTATCTCTTCAGCCTTCCTCTCTAATTCTCAACACTTTGGTTTGGCATTACCAGTGTGACGCTGAAGGCTGATTATTACCCCTTCTTTGCCCCTATGCTGCAATGGAAATGGCTCAACCTACTTTGACCTGGCATGGTTTGGTTTGGTATGTGTTGCGTTAACCTGCCAGAGTCCACAGGAGGAGATGCCTCAGCTGCTGCAGCTGCTGCTCCTGCTGCCCCCGGTGCTGAGCTCATGTCAGGTAAAAACCCTTAAATGTGAAGTGCCAGCCTGCATGCATATGCGTACGGTCGAGAGCATACTAACATGTTGCATATTTCCATTTCACTGAAACATGCCGCCTTATTGTCCTTCTTTTCTAATGGGGTATATTGTTAGTTAAAGCCAATTTAATGACATCTTTCATTTAATTGTTAACAAGATGGCTGTTGCGTGGCCACTGTTTCTATTAACTTTGGTAATGGTTAATGAAATAGTTTGCTGTTCTACATTTTATTTGATTTATACACTCATCCTTACACATTAAATTAGATTTCATATTTTTTATTTTGTAAACTTGAGTGTGATTTTTTTTGCTTGACTTCTTGTTGGATCAGTGTCAAAGTAAAGTCACTTTTGAGCCCTAATGATTTGCACTATGACCATATATGGTCATGTTAGCATTATCATTGCATTGCCTGTTTTGCATAGTCCCACTGTTATCAGTCTTTGGGGAAATTCCCCCAGTCTTCCCCACATTACATGAGCGTGCAACTGTTATCTATGCTAACTGTAACCATGGTAACATGGGCCCTGCTCACCTGGTTCCTGGTCATCTCCTGTCCTGTGCCATTGGTCTGCATGTTATGTAACTGATGGTCTGCAATACTACTGCTTTAAGGCTTAACTCTTTCTTTCCCCCCTCTCTCTGTCATTTGCGCAATAACCTCTCATGGTTTCACTGTCACTCCCTCCTTTAAAACCTCATTGCATTTTCTCTCTCTCTCTCTCTCTCTGGCATCTCTCCTTTTTATTTTGCTCTCTTTCTCTCCTCCTTGCTCTCTCTCTCCATCTGGCTCTTGGGCTGGCTCATTGCTTGCTTCCTGCCATTTGATTGGGTGAGTTTCCTTGCTCTTTAACACGCTAATTTCCCACAGTGCACTGCTGCATTGCAGTGGTGAAAGGAAAGCTCAGCTGCACTGTCCCTTCCACCAACAGATGCATGATGGTTGCAAAGTGTGTGTGAAGTAGCAGTATTATTTAGTGCTTCTGTAGCATTTAACCTGGCTTCATTTTAGCTGCAGTGCTTTTGCCCTCATTATAGTTCCTGCTGCACTCACACACATACAGTAAAAACCTCAAGATAAACACTGAAAATATACAGTATTCTTGACACTGTGTATGATGTTATGATGGTAGATGTAGTTTGTCACATGTGGTAATACATTCAGATTTATATTTATCCCACATAATTACACTTAGATTAGACATATTTTCAGACTTGCAATAGTAGTGAGCAACTGACCTGACAGATGTCTCCTGCAGCAGATATGACTATAATATAAACAGATTCTGTCCTAAAATGACAAAACATTTCAGGATATAAATACGCTAAAATTGGCAATTTTAGCGTATTTCACATCTTTTTTATGACATTAACTTACTCTCTAGTATTTCACATTCCAGTGCTCCTCTCTTCTCTCTGTTGTCATGGAGACACCTATTGGTTGTCATGGTAATCCCCAGTAGTAAGGAGGTCTACTACTGAGTGTGAGGATAGCTTGCACTGAAGAATGCTAATATCTCCCTCCGTCTCCCCTCATCTCCTTCCTTGCCCCCACCCCACCCCACCCCCCAACCCCTTCTTCCTGTAGTATTTGATGGACTAGGGGATGTAATGAAGCCCACTGTGACCCCTCAGGCGGGTGATGTTGACACCTCTATGGCTAACATGGCAAGTAGTAAGTAGTCATTTAGATTAACTGAGACAATATCATAGATACTGATTGAAGGGAATAGTTCAGCATTTTGGGACATTCGCTTTCTTGGAAGGAGTAAGATGAGAAGATCAAAACTTCTCTCATGTGTGGGCATTAAATATAGATTTAGAGCAGGGTGGCGCTTAGCTTAGCATAGCATACAGACAGGAAATATGGGGAAACAGCTAGCCTGGCTTTCTCTGAAGTTCTAAAATGCTCCTACAATCACTTCTAAAGATAAGAAATTAACATGTTTGTTTCTCATATGGCTCGATGAATGGTGGTCGGTCACTCTGCCACTTTGATCCAGTCTGAAATGTGTCAGCAGCTATTGCCTGGATATAGCCATGAAATGTTGGTACATAGATTCATGTTTCCCTCATTATATGAACTGTAATAACTTTGGTGATCCATTTACTTTTCATTTCGCACCATCATCAGGTCAAAATTTTTATTTGTCCATTACTTTGGTTTAAGTAGTGGCATTGTCATCAACCTCAGCTGTGCTTTGTATTTAGTGCTAATTAAGATGGTAAACATGTTAAACATTATACCTACTAAGCATCAGCATTGTGGACATGTTAGCCTGCTCATGTTAGCATGTAGCTCAAGTACAAAACATTTGGTGTTTTATGAGGACTTATGTGCTGTAGAATATTTTTTGGCAGCCAGGCAAAGTGACTTCCCAAAGTCTTTTCATCGCACAGCCAGAGACACTGCACAGAAGTGCTAATACGGACATATTGTTGTTCGTCTGGAAATAGATACAATTGAATTGTAGTTTTTACATAACTTTTTTAGAATGAATTAAACAGAGATACAACGTGTTCATCAGTGAGGTTTGGAGGGGTTACTGTGCAAATAATTTGGAGAAAGTCGGGCTAGCTATTTCCCTCTGCTTCCAGTCTTTCTGCTACAGTAAACTAATCGAGCTCGAGCTCCATACTTAACTAACAGATGTGACTGGTATGGATCATCTCCTCTAACTCTCAGAATTAAAGCGAGTAATCCATTTTCCCAAAATGTTGACCTACTGCTTTAATTCAACTTGTAATTTGCAACTTTGTAACAATGTCACTAAGTGAAAACAGTGATTTTGCAGTCTCTTTTTTCCTCTCTCTCTCTCTCTCTTTCTTTGTCTCAGATCTCACAATGGGAACCGCAGCGGCCCCTCAGGTAGCTCCCCCCAGTTGGGGTGCTCCCATGGTAAATGTTGTCTGTGTCTTATAGCATGGAGTGGAGCTGCATGGCAGCGACAGACAGGGCATACCTGTAGCAGCAATCACAAGCATTGCCTTCATCTGGCTCTCCAGGTTCCAGGTCCAAACACAGAGCTAGGAACGTGTTGCAGTGAAGCAAGGAAACAAGACTTATAACAAACCTCAATCGAACTATAACTTACTGGTGGAATTTATTTAAATGACACATGTCATAGGACCTCTAACAGAGCATGTGCAGTGTGAGTAAATATATAGAAAATTGTCAAAAGCAAGGGCAGAAGTTTAGGCAGTTTTAACATGAAGGCTGGTTCAAAACATGTTTTATATTCATGGAATATCTACTGGAGAGTGATGAAGTGGCAAATGATTGAGTGCCAAATTCAGAAGCTGTTGCTTGGGAACAGCTTCTTCTTCTCCTAAGTTTGTATTTTCTTTAAAGCCTGATAGCGTCCAGGCAAGACACCTGGTTTTCCCCCTCATAGCTGAGCTCACTCCTCCATCAACACATTTGCTTCTTATGGATATTTCAGTTGTCTTTTTGGCAACAATAGATCTGACACATCTGAGGACTTACTTCAGCAAGCTTCCCCTCTACTCTCAAACTCCTTGTGCATGTGTAAATAAATTATACAAACTCATAGGTTAAGTTAGGGTTTTTGTTGTGCCATGTCTGTCTTCATTCGGTGTGTGCCAGTCTATGTGTTTTCACCATTACTTTTGTATGTTGCCAGAAAACATTCTAGCATTGTGTACCGTTTCTTTTCCTATGTGTGTACATTGTCTTGCAGTGTGTGTCTGTCTCGTATGTAGTGTAGTAACATCCCAACTCCTCCTCTCCCTCCCCTCCCCTCCACACCTTTAGACCGTACCCATGGGTGTCCCTCCTTTTATGGGGACTCACCCCAGCTTCGGCATGGTAAGACCACCAGTCCACTCCAGTAATGTCCCTAAACCAGTCTGGACATTACTGGACATTGATGGACAATGACTCCCTTTAGGTGGCCCTCACACCCATCAGAAAGCCAACATTGTGTCTTACTGTCTCTTTTTCTTCTTGTCTGTCTGTCTGTGTAAGCCCGGAGCACCAGGTGTTGGAGCTCCCATGATGCCCATGGTGAGGCCAGGGTTCCCTGCAACCGGAGCAACCCCCGGAGCACCGGTAACATACTCATTTTCAAATGGATTATACTCACAAAGTTATGACACATTCATATCTGAAGGTCACATCTGCTCTAACAAAAGTAGTTGAAGTGCTAAAAGTAGATGTGTCTGCAGATGTCTCCTGGAATGGCCCAGAGTCCCAGAAAGCCTCCCCCACCCAGGAACGCTCTGGATGACCTCAATATTAAGGACTTCATGTAGACTGACTGACCCATAAACCCCCAAGGTACGTGTGCTGTAGTGAGGGTTATCTGTTCATCTGGAGCCTGACATAATAACCTCTGATGATTTCATAGTGATGTCATGAGTGATATCTCAGCTTGGGCTTGGAGACTACAAATTATTAACAGGAGGTCTGTGTTACCAACTGTAGGTGTTGAATTTGAAAGACGTGGAGATTTGCCATACTATTTGTTTTATTATGGAAATGTATCTCACCATCTACTGCTTTAGTTCTCACCATTCCTGTCCCCGTGCTTCATGGAAGTGCAACAATGAATTGCTGCCCCTTTAAAGAATCACAAACCAAAAAGCCTGGGAACCACTGCATTAGAGTTGTTGATGTTAAGGACAGTTTTGAAAACTGATTTTGTGAGCAGCTAGACTGACACACCACTTCAGAAATGTTATTTGCATTAAGATATCTGACCATTTTGGAATGTAGCTCCTTGTAGATTTTTGACTACAATAAAGTCTGACAAGAGTCTGAGCATGGTTTTTGTTTTAGTGTATCTGAATCTTTGTGTCTGTCTGTAGTGGGCCAACAGGTGTAGGGTGGAAGTTGAGGATACTTCTTTTCTTCTTCTTTTTTTACTTTTTGAGTAATCTAAGTAATATTTAGTGTGTTGGGTGGGGCTGGTAGCTGGTGTTCCCATTGGGACCCCAACTTTATTAGACCTGACCTATTTCTCTTGAGAGCACTTGCTTTAATCAAGTCTCCATCCCTTATCTCTCTGTGTCCCTCTCTGTAGGTTTGTCATTGTGTCTGGAGCTCCGTGGATGTGGATGTCTGCACTTTCCCACTGCCTCTCCTCAGTCATGCCCCAGCCCCTCAGCCAACCAGCCATCACATCTATGATCTTTGCCCTCTGACCTCCTACCAGCCACGACCGCCCTAAAAAAAAAAAAACCCTGCCCCCCCTTATCTAATGTTGTAGCACAACTGTGAATGTGAACCCTAGATACAGAAAACAAAATTCCGTTTATGTGTGTGTGGGTGTGGGTGTAATTCAGTGTTAACCTTTACTTAATATACTTCTGAAAAATGAAAAAAAAAAAAGATAAATGTGTATTTAGATTCACTCTGGATTTCTGCGTATCAGCTGACTTGGAATGGTGGATATATGTTGGTTTCTTTGCGCATCTCCCCGACGAGGACTGTGTTGTTAAATGTGGACTGTGTTCGGTGTGTGTAACTTCACTGGCCAACCCCCACTCCAACTCCTTTACCCCTGTCGTCCCAACTAATACTGAGCTATGTTTATGTCATTAAAGACTTGGTTGTTCCTATATCTGCTTGGCCATCCATCCTCCCACCTGTCTACTTCAAGTTTTTGGAGATCGATTCTTAATCAAAATGTACCTGAAAACCACTTGCACTGCAAATCGGGACTTATCATCGAACACATCACGTAGTGTTCAGTTTCATTTTTACTTTATCTTTTTGTAGGGATTGTATGAACATGCAAAAATTTGTGAAATGTGTTCAAATTGACATATGCATTTTAGACTATTTTAAATGATAGATTATACATATTTTCTTTAATCTTTATTTTGAGAGAATAAAAGTGTATCATATATTTTTAGTTACATCAAATTATATCGTTGAAAAAGAAGCAAGTAGACTCAAAAACGTCCCTCCTTTGTACATACATCTGTAATCAGAGGCAGTATTGAATGGAAACTTTGCTCTGAGTGTTAACTGTTGCGCCCTCTGCTGGTGTGGAGTGATACTGCATTGTAGCATGCAACACAGGTCAATTTGAGATGCAATCTGCATAATATTCTCTAAGAGCTCCTTTCTTTGTCTCAGTCTCCACACGAAATGACGTCATGTTAAAGTGGAAATCAAAGAGACAAGGAAGCATCTGTGTACGTGATTGGAATGTGGCCTCAGTACTCTTTGGGTCATTTGTGACGCAGCAGCGGTCAGTACATTTGTTCATGTACTGTCACTGGAAGTCTTGGGGACTCTCACCGTAAAGTACTCAAGTATACGCTGGATGTTCTGTGTGTTGTTTATTTCCAAAAGTGACTGTATCTTAATCCATTGTGGCATTAACAAAGTGTTGAAAGAAAAATAAAGATGACTATGATACATAAAAACAAAAAGAATGTGGATAAATAATGTTTGCTAAGTATTCATATGAAGGCTGTGATGTTTTTTTTTTCTTTCTTTTTTTTTCTTTTTTTGGGTTATTATCGATGGCATCGCCCTCCCTCCCTCACCCCCACCTGCATGTGAGTCCAAATGAGATGCAATAAAAGACAAATACACTGATCCAAACAATCCTCACGGCTCATCACTTATCTCTGGTCTGCTTTCGTCAGCTTGTTTTGTCAACATGAATTATTTGCGTTAAAAGAAAATGTGTGGCCAGGTCAATAACAGGCAGAATTACAATACAACACAATATGACACACACACACACACACACACATATATATATATATATATATATACACTGTATGTGTGTGTATGTGGTGTGTGTACACTCAGATTTTTCTTGAAGTGTAGTGAATAAGGACCAACAGGCTATCACCAGTACTGCAAAAACAAACAAGAACAAGCAAGAAGTTTACACTGTTCAACATGTGAGAAGATAATAATATTTTGTCTTTCCCTTTACATAATTACAGTTTCAGTTAATTACAGTGATATAAATTAAGTGTTTCAAAGACAGACAAACAATTGTGGTCTTTAGAAAAGGTAACAATGAAATTCTGTCAAAAAACCAACTCAAATTTAGACACTTTGCATGTTTTTAGCCATTTTTGAGTCATTCATAAGCATGTGATTTCGACAGTCTCTAAATGAACTGATAAATGACTGAACAGGTTGCAGATCCAGAATCAGGGACATTTGCAACAGTCATGGATTACAGGTTTGCTGATACGGCCTGACACTGAAGAGGTGAGCTGGTTTCACATCAGGTCGGCACTCCTGGGCTGGTATGTATAAAGCTGCTCAGAGTGAAATTTTGGTTTAAAGGCATCAGATTTTTTAAGAAGACCAAAAGGTCATTTTGCTTTCATTTTACTGCTCTCTTTTAAGCAATAGTTCATTTTTAGGTCAACGCCTACTATGACTACTTTGGGCTCATTTAAGATTTGTATGATAAATATCCCATATATTGCATATCGATATCGTAACTATAACTGCACAAAAAAATCTTTTATGTGCTTTCTTCTTGTATGTTGCAATATACTGAAACATATAATGTTGGTTACAGTGAATGATGTGACAAGATATGCATGGGGGCCTCTCTATTGGCTGTTTCAGTGCTTGAGGGCATTTTGGGAGGGAGGACATGATTGTAGTCCTTGTTTTACAACAATTAGGAATCACTGCAGTCAGCATTTAAGCAAAGCATCTAAGTCCTACTTTTTTACCAAAAACGTTCTGACTCAGAAGTCAGAGCTTTGACCATCTTAAGACCAGTTCTTTGATGTTTTATACACACCAGCCCTGATCTTTGAGTCTAGTAGAAAGTGACAACGGATTTATTCTCTTGGAGATCCATTGCTCTGTAAGTTCAGACCTCTTCACAAAAACTTGGATCTCCGTGGATCCAGTGACAGATCTGGGCATACTTGGGAGGAGTGATCCTCACAGCAACATTAAAGTCCCTCAGCTCACCTCCGTCCGCCTCCACCAACTGATGGCCTGAGAAAACCCCGATTACCCTCCTCTGCCACTTCCCTTTCCTGTCTACATCTCCCGCTTCCTGTCTCAGACGAATGTAAACACCTGCACCTGTCGCGCCGGACTGCGCGTCACAGTGCTGGTACAACAAATCGTCAGACTCCTTTGCCACAGAGCAAAAACGATAAACCACCTTCTCGTCTCCACGCCCGTCCAGCAGGCTTTTGTCAGCATCATAGCCTGAGAAGTGGATCCGTGCCAGGGAAGCATCAGAGGGAGCCACTCCGAGCCTCATGTACTTTTGTTTGATTTGTCGTTTCAGCTCCAGAAGGGCGTAATTGTAGTCAGACGAAACTGAGTTGGTGGAGCTCTTGGCTTGGATCCATCCTTGAGGGATTCGGGTTTGTTTAACCCGCGTCCAACGGAAGACCGGCTGCCTTCTGGGTTCAACACTGCGCCGAACACGGCTGAGACGCTTTCGTTTCCTTCCTCTTTCAAACTCATCTATATTTCCATCATCAGCCAACACATGATTTTTCTCTCTTCTTCCTCTGGGTCTCCTACCTTTGCCTCCATTTCTTCCTCTCACTACATCTCCATCTATACTATTCTGCTCCTCACCTTCCTCCATTATCTGCTCTTCTTTCCCCTCACCTGTCTCCACCTCTCCTCTCCTCCCACCCCTCCGCCGCCCTCCTCTCCTCCTTCCTCCTCTTCTTTTTTTGGTTTTGAGCTGCAGCACTCCTACTTTAAGCCTGCTGGCACTCTCTAGGTAGTCACTCCCATCGTGGATGCAGTGTGCTGCCGTCAGCACATGTTTCGGAGACACCAGGACTCCGGAGCAGCCTGTGGAGAGGCGAACTGCAGTCGAGAACGGGTAGTTGGTGATAAAATGCGTATCAGAGATCACAAAGCGTCCATCTGCTCCGTAAATCTGTCGTTTCCTCCGGGTACTTGTTTGTGAATGGGCTGGTGTTCTTGCAGACGTCTTATTAAAACCCTGCAAACTGATATTTGTGTGTGTGCGCGTGCCGTTCTCATACATCGTCTCATATCCCAGAAGCCTCTCTTGCTCAGTCTGGTCGATAGGTGTTAGGCCGCCCTGACACTCTATCCCACAGAGTGTCTTTGCCCTTCCTTTCTCCTCATCCTCCTCCTGCCCTCTGAACAAAGGGGTGTTTAAAAGCTGCGTGTGTGTGTCCAGCAGCACCGGGACGCTCTGCCTGGTCCACACGTACGCCTCGCTGTTCCCATCTTTACCAAAACCTCCAGAAACTGTCAGGGAAGCTGCACAGAGCAGCAGACACATGTGTTTGAGGCCCATTCCACTAAAAAGAAAGAGACAAAGACAGAAATACTTAGGTGTTGGAGAGAATTGACCTCCTTCCGGACCTCATGGATCCTTCTAGAGATGGAAAAGATTGAAATGGTGAAGAGAAAGTGAAATGGTATAGAGTGTCAAGTTTGAGAGAGAGAGCCTCCACACTTCTCTCTCAAGTAGCATTCACGTTGAGTTTCCATATTATTTTGGCAGCAGAGGGCGCACATGCTCAAATTCTAAATAAGTCTCTTGGCAGAAAAGTGAGTGATGTCTGTGATATTTTTGTTTTATATTGACACGAGGCGTCTGCAGTTGAATTAATAGGATCAAAACAGAGGCAATGCTATGATTAGCAGATGCAACAGTCTAAGTTAACTGTCATTTAGTTGCACAAACAGTTGAAGCGTGTATAATATTATCTATGTATAATATTATTCTATTAGACTATATAAACATCTTAGAAAAGAACTTAGACAAGTCTGTAGCGCAGGATAATTAGGACATATTATGTGAAAATAGGAGATACACACAAAAAAACATAGCTTTTGTAAGTATCAAGAGGAAAGCTAGTGATGTGAGATTTAATTTTTTGTACTTCGTGCCTAATTGATACAAAAATGCCGCTTGAAAAAGAGACGCAAAGAATACAAATTCAAAAATGTTCCTACCTGCAAAACATCCAAAAACACTTCAACAACTTCCAGTCAATGTTCTCCTTCTCATTAATAAAAAATCCCCTCTATCCAAACGGCTTCCAGCAGACTGGGATCCATCATTTCCTGGGCTCAAAAAAAAGTGGAACGCAAATAGAAGCTGCGGAGCAAGATCCTACTGGAAACCTAGATCCCACTCTGATGCAGAAAAAAGTGACCGCCAGACAGGCAGAACGTGGGTGGGAGTCGGCCAGGAGGATGAAAGCATGAATGAGGTTTTTTATCATGTGATGACATTGCACTCAAAAGTCAAAAGTGGAGCCATGTGGACATGAATTCTGCAGTATTTTTCTCTGGATTCCGCAAATATTTTTATTAGGCAGGGAATACGCGGGGAACACTGACGCTTTCAAGTGTAGAGAAATGCTGACAAAATGTTGCTTTTGAGTGCGTGTTTATGCGCTGCTTTTGCGGTTAAAAATGTAAGTTTAGATTTACGTCAGGTGATCGTTTGAAGTTTGTCCAGACACACACACACAAACACACACACAGAGATACACATGCACACAACTCTACACCTCTCAGATCTGAAGAACCTGTGCATTAACCCATGTTGGTTTATTTTGACAAGTATGTCTCTGCTCAGTGCAACAAGAGTTCATTCAGTGCAGGATGCCTCCTTTTTCCTTGATTATCTGTTTTAACACCAACACACACATGCACCTACAGGGACACACACACACACCAATCAAAGGCCCACTAACTACTGATGTCATACTGACAGGTGATGTTTGTGCATTTGCAAGAATATTGCAGGATTTGGTTTGAATAAATCGTGTACCGCTCACACTGTATTAGAACATCAGCTGTTTACTTACAGGAGTCTAGAGGACACATCGCAAGTTCAGCATCACACTTAATTCCTTTACTCGCCGAGAGCTGTCTCCAGGGACACGCTGATGTTAACTCTTGTCTCTATCAAGTATTTTCTCCCGCTGAAGTTAGCAAACTAACAAGCTAGCCCCGGCCCGTCTCATCACTTTCCGATAACGACTCAGTAGTGTAGCCTCCAATCTGCCCTGAAGACATAGTGTTGCTCAGAGGACGCACTATAACCTCTTTTCTTGTAAACGCAACGACGGCAGAAGGTTTTGTCCGGCGACAATCATCACCACCCGCTCCCAGCGATACGCCATGTTCAGCAGTACAGAAAACATACAAAGCCATAGCCACTTTCATAAAACTACTGTTCCTTTATAATGTTGAGGTACTTAAAATAACTATGGGGCACATCTCTACCTTTACTTCAGAACAAAGGTCCAGGGGACAGTGTGTTGTCATGGATACTGTCAGCCTCTGAAGACTGTCTCAGCTGTCATTCACTCAACATCAAACTTCATCACTGGATGCTCATTTATAGCCATGTCACAATTTTGAAGTCGTTAAAATGTTTAAAGTCTTCTCCCTGACAGTTATGTTGGACCAACACCGCAGCTCCTCAAGGTGCAAGCTTAGGCTTTTTTCAGTTCTGTGCACTGCAGCCTCCTTTCACATATGGTGAAAATATTCTTCGGAATCACATCTGAACTTATTTTTAACCGGCAAAGGCCTGTTTGCCCTCTTCATATCCTCTGTTGTCTTCTTTCAGTAGCCTACTGAGTCTGACTGCTCTGGTTGAGTGGAGAGAAAGGACTCACTTCACGGAATTTCTCTGTGCAATTTCTCTGCCATACCACAGCGACAGAAACTGTGAAGAAATGTGACATTCACAGGGTTTCATCACATTTTGGCCACAACTAAAACGATAGTACAAATGGCAGTGACTGAACACCCTCCCCAAGGAAAGGCCCCAAACAAAGCGGAAGTAAAGTCACCAGAAATGAAGCAAGTGCAAAAAATTTCAAATCAATCAAGTCCAATTGTAAATGAACATACAGATACAGACATATCAGCAGCACTTAAAGAATCTAGGAAACGTGATACTGTAAATGCTAACCCACATCCTTCAAAATAAAAGTCTGTGTTTGGGTTTGATCAATACAAAATTCCTCCAAAATGTACAATGTCCTATATAGCGCAACAACATCACACTACTATATTTACATTACCCCCTAATAACAGGTACCCAGTAGTTAAATAATATCTACAGTAAAAATTATCTCTTAGTTGCATGCATAGGCTACCCTGTGGTTATACTTCTACAGTATAAATTCTTTGTAAGATTCCAAATTGTTACCTCATTTTTCCATAATTTTACAGCTTGTTCCTCAGTACCTACATAAATACTGGTATACCATTAGGACAAAAGAATACACCATAACTCTTCTCACATTGCAGGATGCAATCTAGAGCGTTGAAAAGCATGAAAAATGGTGTTACCAACAGGGGTTAAACTAGAGCCCACCGGAGCTGATCTGTGTCCTTCAACATCATATCAAACTTCTATTTTTTAAAATGTCCCACTAAACATAATAGCATATTGGCCTCAATGAGTAATTCTCTCGACTCCAAAGCGAGATATATGAGGTGATTTCTACAACCAAACCAATGTTAACAAGGAGCTTTATAGGTTTCGACGGACAGAAAATAGTGCAAACAGCACCATTTGATATTCAAATAGTCAAATAGTTTTGCTAAGTAGTTTTCAAAAGAAACTGTCTGAGTTAGCTAACATTTTATGTGTATATACTAAGCTGTGTTGCCTTGGTGAACTAGACATAAGTTTCTCTAGTAGCATTCTTTAGCTTCCAAATAGGACTCAATAGCAAGACTCTGCTGTCTTTCCTATCTATCTGCAGACTACATGTTCTGCTGAACTCTAGTCATGATGTGGTCATGACCCACGTCTTGACAAATTTTTGAAGATAACAAATATTATATTGTATTATAAATGATATGTTGAAAAGATAACTCTCTTTCTCTCTCTCACACATACACATAGACACACACACACACACACACACACACACACACACACACACACACACACAATGCTATTTGGAAGCTAAAGGAAAATTAATAGCTAATATGTGAACTGATGGCCAGATGCTTTGAAAGAAGTTGACTATTTACAGTAAAATGTAAAACAAAGGGCTCCCACTCCTTACGAAACCCAATTTAACCCCTGGTTACTATTTCTTATTCCTTCCTCTTTGACGCTGTTAAAGGGGAACATCGTGTTCCTCTGAGTGCCTTCACATTTACTATCATCACCTGCTTGGTGCAAAACATTAACATTTTCTGCCAGCAGTATGGAACAACTCAACTCCACTGAGGTCACATCTAACAACTCCTCCTCTCCTGGACCGTCACCTCTCGTCTCCTGGGACTCCAGCACTCTGGCTCCTGTGGTGGTGCTGTCTTTCTGCTTCCTGGTGGGAGTTCCTGGAAACATTGCTGTGATCATCCTCAAACCAAACTGGCAGCACTTGTCTAGTCTGAGCCAAAATTTGATGCTGAATCTGGCTATATCAGACATGGTCTGCCTGCTGCCCCTGCCCCTGTGGATTTATTCTTTCCTCTACAACTGGATCTTCGGACTGGTGGCCTGTAAGCTTCTAGCGTACCTCGTGTACTGCTGCCTTTACAGCAGCCTGCTGACTGTGACGGTGCTGAGCGTCCAGCGGTACCTGCAGGTGGTCTACCTACATAAGAGTTTACATGATGTAGGAAACAAGAGGCTGCTGGTTCTGCTCTGGCTGGTTGGGATGATCCTCTCCATCCCTGCGTTACTGGTTCGACAGCCAATTGAAGAGAAGCACATGACACTCTGCCAAGCTAAGTACTCTTCCCATGCCCAGTGGGTGGCTGTGCTGCTGTCAGAGTCCCTGGTGGGATTAGTTTCATTTTCTGTAGTGGCATTTGCATACATCTGCCTCCACAGAAGGGTGAACCAGACAGCTTTTTTCAACCACCCAAAGACGACCAGACTGGTAACCAGTATCATCGTGACCCTTTTCGCCCTATGGATGCCACATCATATCATAAATTTGTTGGGTGTGGCAGCTATTTCTGTCAAAAACGAGGGTCTGTTGAGCTTTTGTATCGACAGCTGGAACATTGTTGGAGCGCTGACATTTGTGAATAGCTGCCTGAATCCTCTTCTGTACGCATTTGCTTCTCGCAGCATGTGCACTGTGTGCCAAAAACCTGAAAATAAATACTGTTGTTAACACAGAACCTCGTCATTTGCAGGAAGTCTGTCTCGTCGGTGTATTACCAAATGCCAGCAGATATCAGTACAGATGCAGAACCGTGCGGATGATAATGCTGAGAGATGTTATTTTTGCTCTTGTGGAACCAAACAAAGCTGTTTTCAGTCAAAAGATCTCATCTCCCTTGTGTTACTCAGCTTGATGGTGTGATACTATATTTGTCAAGAGAGGGAGAGATGGGAGAGACCCGGTCAGAGGAAACAATTAATGAAAAGATTGAATAAATGTTTGTGCTGGAGTTCATCCAACTAGATGAGTGACCATTTGTCTCCATTGTTTAGGAACAGACACAGAGACAGACGAGGAAAGATAAAGATAGTGGGAGTGATGTACTGATATATAAGAAGATATGTAAACCCATTCATTTATTCATTCCTTTGTCTATGATCAGTAGAATCGACACAGACTATTTCAGCTCTACCTGTAAGATGAATATTGTTTATATTTTTGCCTATACAATAAACTGTGCTTATACATCAACTGTATGATAAAATATGATGTATTATCTCTAATTAAATGATGACCACTCTTGTGTCTGAATGATGAATATAGTCTGAAGCTTCTTAGCTCAGCTTAGCACAAAGACTGCAAACAGAGGAAAACAGCTAGCCTGGCTCTGTGAAAAAAGAATAAGTAAATAAAAAAAATCTGCCCTAAGGCACCTCTAAAACTCATGTATCTTGTTTTATTCCATACAAAAACCAGTGTTTTTTTCGTTCGGGACCAATTGCTCATGAAAAATGAGCACAAACTAAACAACTAACATTTGTACTTGAGTACTTAAACTTCACGTATCCACTTTGTAATTTGTTTGAGTTCACATCATAATCACTTGATAGTGGTGAATGTACAGTGCTCCAGCAAAGTAGCAGCGTTATTCCAAAGACAACTGCAACAGAACTTCTCTGTTATTATTAAAGGTTTCATTTAATTTTCTCTGTGATTAAATTTAGTCATTGTATAAA